CGATAAGCAATTACATTAAGCACTTCTTGCAACCTCTAGCGTATGTAAGTACCTACTAAGTCAATTTTATATATTAATCTATACCTACTCAGACAAAAAAGCCTTCGTCATCCCTTTTTAATAAAAACTAAGTTTTAAACACAATTTAATAGAAAGAGACGGATCAGTATTTCAATTAACAGAGTGTAATTAGACTGATTCAGTAGTTATGAATAAGGTAAAAACTGCTAAAGAAAGTGCTTTTAGCAGTAGACCGCACATTCTTTGACTTCATTTATTTAATTTTATTATTCTCCTGTTTTGTGTTATTGTGATGTAAAGTGTTATTATTATTATTAGTTAAGGATACCGTGAATTTAATTTGGCGTAACATACATTGATTCTTTATTAAATGTTTAGACGTATTATATTCAACATCAGCAATCGTAAGGAACCCTAACGATCTTGACGCACTCACGCAACGGTCTTACATTGTAATAATCCCTCTTCGAAGTGAAATAAAAGGAATAAATTTATAGCCTAAGACCTCAGAAAGGACACGCCGTACGTTTAATCTCGGACCTCCCGACACATGCCTCCCTATTGCCCTCCCAAGGAGCGGAGACACTCGCGGAAATGTACCTACTATAGTGAACCACAAGTTTATAAGTTTAATAAATATACAAACAGGCTTCGCGGGTATACTATCGAATTTGAAATCACGACATGAATAATATATTCTTAGTTATAAAATTAAGGGACTTACGTTTACGGATACGTTTCTACATCATATTAGGATAATTTAGCTAAATAGCATTCCCTTCTAGTTTATTATCTAAGATTGAACTCAGGACCACCATATAAAACCTAAATAGAAATAAATTAAACACATCAAAGCAGAGATAATTTGTCCCGTACAAATGCTGCCATACCTCTGTGAAATAGAATTTGGAGTTTTTTTTTTAATTTTAAAAGTTATACTACTTACTACTACTAATTTTTCCCTAACGCTTGGTGCGTTAGTGAAAAATTATGATGATGAATGCGCACACGCACAAAAAACCGACACCCTGAAGTTAGCTATAGTCATCATTTTTCAAACGTAGAATCAAATTTTTGAAAATATTTTTATCTTGTTACGCCAAAGAAGTATAACTTCTAACGCGTGTACAGAAGTACACACACGTTTTTAATATTACGAGTATTACGTTCGTTCACGTTACGCTTGTTTCCAGCACATGACATGCCATGTCAGTTTAATAAACTGGCATTGATATCTTAATATGACGTAAACCAAATGTATACTTTACCCTACTAGAAATCTATGTTTAGTTCAAAATTGTTCACTACATTATATTATTTCCCAAACACGAGCAAAATAAAGAAAATATATTATTGTGTTTAGTTTGAAACCAAAATATAATAAATGTAAAAGTTCGTGCAACACATTGTAGTAACGATTGAGGTGCTCCATGTTATTGGCACATCACTGGGTTGGTCCGGGCGGCGAGGCGCAAGAAATTGCTATTCTATCGATAGATTCGCGGTTTTCCTAGTAAACCGAAAATGGAACTTAGGGCTGTCAAACATTTAGCCTAAACAATAACATTATTTTCTGTAAACTGTACCAACCACAAACTTTTGTAGAACCCTAAAAGCTCCGCAAGCATATAACTAGGCAATCGAAATAAAGTTATCTGCTTTGGGTCCGAAGAAGCTAGGTAATAAGTAAATGATTCTTCTAAATTGATTGTTGAAGTGAAACTTCTTTATCGAGGTTGGAAAAAAATTTAGTGTAACATTTTTTCGTTACGCGTCACATTTTTCGGTTACGCGCCATATTGCTTTTTGAAGTCAAACTTCTTTATCGGCGTTGGAATGAAACTTCTTTATCGACGTATGGGAGAAATTTTATAGCAAATCGTCACGTTTTTCAATGATAGTAATAATTTTGTTACAATTAATGAAATTCTATAATAATCTTCGTAGTAATAAGGTAAAATTAAATATTTGTATTCATGTCTATGATAATAAAAGCCTTTTGTTAAACTTTACCTAATTTAACGAATTTCTGTAAAGTTGCATATAGTAGATCATTTTTCGAAAAATAAGATCATAAAGAAGTTTCACTTCTTACGTGTGCACACCTAGTACACGCACAATTTATTAGACATAGCGGCCAAACCTCGTACATACATTTCAAAAGTAAAACTCTTGTCTTTTTTTAATAATTGGCCGTGCCAACCTTCGTTTTTAGCTGGTGTTTAAAAACCTTTTTCTGCGCTATTGCCCTCGATATAAAATGTGTGCAAACAGCGCCGCTCGCAATCAGAAGACTTCGTAGCAAAAGAATCCCCCAGAGGGAGGCACAAAGGCGAGAAACGACAACCCTAGCCCGTTTGGAATAGCTTCCTTATGCACGGTACTTCACTAAGCGGTTTCCTATTCATGACCGTTCAAATATAACTCATAACAATCTGTTAAACCCCGAATACAATACTTGTATTACTTTCTATTCTTTTTGCTCGGGGCAGATGTTTCCATTGTTTCATTCAGGTTACTGACTAATAAGGGGTGGTTTCGATTTTGTATGTGCGGTTCAGTCTATACGCTTTCGCTTTTGAGACTCCATGCGGGTGACCCAAAGTAAATGTACATGCAACTGACATGTTCTATCAAAGGGTTTTTAATATAATTTCTAATCTTTTAAGCGATAGAAATTAAATGCATTTAACGAGATTAATCTGGCTTGTTTTTGCAAACTGCTTAAGATTTTGAATGAATGCAATGCACACGGCACACCACCCCCCGCAAGACTTTCATTATATAGTAGGCCAACTGTAAGTCCCGTCTGGTTTCCAATTTATTGTACCCCACCATCCCTAAGACAAAATATAATGTTGGGTAAATTAAATTATTGTAGGGATAGACGCCTTACAGTCTGTAATAAAGGTATCGTGTAAATTTATTCTGTATGCGTCCCAACATATGACAGATCTCCGTATTTAGCTTTAATATTACTGAACGTTGATGCTCTTTGAAGCAGAAATCCCATTCTTGCGTAGGCTTTCTTGTAAATTTCGACTATATGATTCCGAAAAAATTATTTGAGCATCCACTCGCACTACCAGGTCTCTTACTGACGTTTCCTGCTTCAGTATCACCCCTGACACGTTGTACTCATGCTGACGAGGCAATTTGGTGCGACTAAATGTCACCATAGCACATTTGACAATATTTAATTGGAGCTTATTTTTTGGTTCCACTCATACTCTATCTATATCTCCTTACAAGCGTTTCAGATCGTCTGCAAAATAGGCATCAATCATGGCTTTTACCTCTGGTTAATCGTTCACCATTTTTGCAAACTGTAATGGGCCTAGATTGCTGCCCTGACTCACGCCTGACTTAGTGTAGTATGGTTCTAACTGACACCCTTTGTACTCTACATACTACTGGCGATCTTTCATTTACATAATTAACAAAAACAATTAATAGTTTCGGAGTGAATCCGATACTCATCAACTTCGATAACAGTATGCACTCGAAGTATCCACGACGTCAAACGTCTTCCTGTAATCAAAGTATGCAGCATCACACATTTCGGCTATGATTATATTATCTACTATATAAAAATAAGTCGGGTTTTCCTTCCTGACGCTATAACTCCAGAACGCACGAACCGATTTTGCATTCGTTGGAAAGGTCTCGGGCTCCGTGAGGTTTATAGCAAAGAAAATTCAGGAAAAATTTCAACAGAAAAGCGGGATCACCAAACGAAATGTTACATAAAACGAAGCCATCTGGTCGCGAAACGGAGTTCGCCGAGTTTGCTAGTATAACATATATAATCCCCACTTTGAAACAGCATATGTAACTTAAGTACTAAACCCTCGATACGCTCTTTGCAAAATTAAAGTTGATATATATTGCTAGTTCTGTACTTATATACTAGATGGCGTTGAGATGAATACGTTTGACTAGTTTCTTTTTTCACGCAGCAACTAATTAGGCGAAGTTAGTTTAATGACGAATCACGAGTGTACATTGTGTTACCTACGTAAATAAATGATTTTTGATTTGATTTGATTTAAATGGTTAGGCCATACACTCCAAAGAGATTCAAATTTTTCGCAAGCAGGCGTTCGACTGGCACCCGCAAGGTAAGCGGAATAGACGAATGGCCGTCCCAATACAGTTACAGGTGAGCCTTGAGACCGAACGCGATGGAGACTCACCGTGCCCTCTGCCCCAACTAGAGGTTATAGGACATTAAGTGAAGTCAGCCAGTCAAATAAAACACACCCTTGTAATATATATTTATTAACAGTATAACAATCTCATCGGTAGTGCTGTAGCGGAATGTCACTTTTCACGCGGGAAAACAACGATAATCCGTGGTGTACAGAAATGCATGCTTTTGGTTCAATTTTATTAAATAATTAGGAACTTTCTGCGACTATTAAATAAATGGACAAAGCTAAGTAAGTTTCAAAGTCTCGCTTCTCACTTTTAGATGTGTTCGTACGGATCACATTCTTCCATCTCAGAGCAAAAACCTTATACCTCTTTAAAAGCGCTTCGTTCATTTATTTAAACAATTTAGAGAAAATGGCAGACTCGACATCTTTTAATAGAAACTCCGATTGTACATTACGAAACTATCAGAAATTGAATAAGTGAACAACAAACAATAAAATATTAAAAGTAATAAATACTTGCAGATTGATTAAATATATTAATATCACCGTTTCGGTTATCACAAAATATGAGCGAACACAACTTAATTTAATATTCTATCGATAAGCACTCCTTTAGCATAGTTGATATCTTATATATTACGACATATATGTTTTAGTTTTATACATTGATAACGGATGGCGCTTCGAGGAGTTCTTGAACGACCACGTCGGCAAGTTTATTTAGAAATCACATAAACAGATACAATATTAAGCAGCTCAAAATTACTATAAAGAACACAATCGACTCACTTTTGTGTATCGATTAAGACGTCCTGAAACCTACGAGTACTGTTTGGTGAACTTCTCGTGGAAGGATTTGAAGATGTCCAGCATCTCCTGGAGGAGAGCGGGCTGAGGGAGGATCGTGGTTCTGAAGTGGTAGGTGCCAGGTTTCTGGCCGAAGCCCGTGCCCGGCACTATGCAGATACCTGGGAGAGAGCGAAACCGTAAATAACCTTATTTCTTATTAAATTTCCAACATCTTTTTTGTTTGTCTATCTGCGAATAGTTTCGACTCGTTGTAAAATCTGTACTTAATGATTACCAGGTAATCGACAAGAAGAGAAGCGTGGCGCATTAATACTTAAATTAAATTAACGGGTGCAAAGGTCAATTTAAGGCCGATTCACATACATCAGTGAAGGCACAGTTCCGTCGACGTGTCTTGCGTCAGTCATTCAATTCTCACATAACGTGATTATGGCTCTGTTCAATACAACGGAGCTAGCAATGATAGTTGTTTTTTTAACGGAAGAAGAGCAGCATCAAGGAAATAAAAGAAAATGGTGCATGAAGATGGAAATTACGAGAAACAGAAGGAGAATTCATCACATTATACAAAGAATTAGTTAAAGATGAAAGAAAATATTTTAAAACGTCAGAGAGCTGCTTCAATATTCCTCTGCAATAAACAAAATGTGACAACCGACATAAAATATCGCTGTCAACTTATCCGTCCGATTGCCGAATGGTGTCGAAAAATATTTCGCAGTGCCGGTACTGTGTCGGAACTGCGGCTTCACTGATATATGCGAATCGGCCTTTAACCTGATCATACCGGATCACACCAGCACCGTGGCCGTGCTAGGACCGGAACAAAATATTCGTATGGAATAGTTGCCTAATATACAAAAAGCCTATTCCAATAGCGAAGAGTACATACCGGTGTTCTCCAACAATTGGAAGGCGTAGAAGACGTCAGGGGCTTTGCCGACTTTCTTCGCCGCTTCGATGGCTTTGGGGGGCAGCGTTATTTGGGGGAAGGCGTACATGGCACCCTGGAATACAAATAGCTATGAGAGCTCCGACAAAGAGAACAAAAAATAGTGAAAAAGTCCAACTTCAAAAGTAAAACGACAAAAACGATTTAACCGATTACGAAATGAAAAAATGTATGTAAAGCCTACCTGTACAATGTTACACTTGAAGCCTTCCATCTGGTTGAAGGTGTCCGCGATAATCTTGGCTCTCTTGTTCAGGGATTCCAGAACCTGAGTCTTCTCCTTGAGCCAGAGGTCGTACGAGGGCTCACCCGGAGCCGGAGGTTTGGCCTGAAATGGCATTCAAATATTATTAGAAAATAATTTAGAAAGCTTAAACTCACTTTAGATTCTTGTAATAATGCATAAAATCTACTATTTGCCTTCAGATATTGCAATGCACTGTACGGTATTGTGCGGTATTGTGATTCATATCGTAAAATACTAACCACGCAGTCGACGGCCGTCTGCCCCAAGGAACTGGGGCACAGCATGGCGGAAATGGCTTTATAGAGGTTGACCTGCACTTGCGGGTCGAGGTTCACCAGCTCCATCCATCCACCCCGGAGACCGCACTCGCCCATGTAGCCCTGAAGCACGTCACTTAGTAAATCAAATGTAATGCTAGAAAACCGTTAACAATTGATAAGATCTCACTAGATGGCGTCGATTCACAAAAATTAAAGTCCTCACCTTACTGACGGACATGAACGAAGCCAGCTCCATCTTGTTGTAAGGTTCCCCCATCTCCATCATCACCTGGAAAGGACATGTTTCAATTATTCAATTATTTCAATAAGAATTTTAACGACTTCGGTTATTACACACCTTCTTGAACGAGAAGAACTCGCTGCCCTCGGCGTACACGTTGTGCTGGTAGACCTCGTCGGCGAATATGAAAAGGTTGTGCGCGTGCGCAAACTTCACGATCGCCTCGATGTTTTCTCGAGACAGCACCTGCAACATTTCATTCAAATAAAACATGTAACCTGTAAATTTTTGTCTACCATCACTATTATTTTTATTGAATAAGTGCAGTAATTCTGTTTATTAAGATTTTCATCCTCATTTTTTTAAATAAATTAGAAAGTTTAAATAAACCGACATAATTTAAATTTTTTATAAATATATACGTTTAAATGAATCGTGATCGCATATAAACGATAAGTTCCAAATAATTTTTGAAAGGAATTTGGGCACGAGTACACACCTGACCGGTGGGATTTCCAGGGTTTATGACAACTATGGCCCGAACATTATTCTTCTCCTGTCCTCCGGCGTAGGACCGTTCCAGCTCCTCGGTGCTGAGGCCCCACTGGTGTTCTTCGTCCAGGTAGTACCCGACTAGTTCTAGTCCGTATTCGGCCAGAGACGCCGAGTACAGCGGGTATTGAGGGATGGGGATCATCACGGCTAAGAAAATATTTATCCATATAAAATACGCTTTTTTAGGCCGACGCCCCACAGAATTGGCGGTATATTAGACTCGCCACGTCACTTGATTTTTATAAAAAATTCGCGCTTTATAAATCCTCAGGCACTGGCCAACTTAACTCAGATGCCCTATGTATTCAACCGGAAACTGTGGAATTATAATATATATTTTGACTTCTTTAAGTCGGTAATAATTTACTATTAAATTTTTTTTTACTTATTTGGTCGGGAAAAGTCTGGGGAAAATCATAAGCCGCTTTGGAGACATATTGTGGCCACCCAGATCTCCCGACTTAACCCCAGCTGACTCTTTTTATGCGGTTATCTCAAAGCAAGAGTTTATGATACAGTTGAAGACTAAATAACAACAGAAGTGAGAGCCATATCAGTGGACGTCCTGCGTCTCTGCAAATTCGCTATTTCGCTTTGAAGCATGCATTCACCGTAATGGAAGACATCTTGACTGTGTAATATTAATATTACGTACATAAAATCCGCACATTATAATTTATTGCAATTACAATATTACAAATACAATTGTTTTTTTTGTAAATATTTAAAGTTTACAATCGGCGCTGAGATGCCCATCTCACCTAAACAAACCAAATTCTACTTCCATCTCCATATCGAGCGGCAAAGATAAGTAAAGCTTGTGGTAAATGGCTCACCTGAGCTCTTCCCATTGATATTATTGACAAGGAGTTGAAGGCAATTCTTAATCCCATTCGAGGCGCCGCCCACCAGCACCACGTTGTTCCAGTCTGAGGGAAACCCATCTCGTTTCTGGATGTACTCCGCCACGTGCCGACGGATCGATTCGATACCATAAGACATCGTGTACGAACCCACTGAACTGCCCCTGGAATATATATAATAAAGCCTGTACTTCTTGAAAGCATTAATTATGTATAATTCGTGAAAATACCAATTTCGCGGAAATTCATGCGTTTTTATTTATTTCAATAGTCTTCCATCATATCAAATAGTTATCTGTAAACGTATGATGTGGCAGACCATCGCTTAAAACGATTGCCAAAAGCACTCGAAATGTCAAGTTATTTAGATAATTTCATAACAAAGAAATATTTAAAAGTACATTACTCGGGTATTCTAATGACAATATCACTTTTTCAATAGCAGTGATCAACGAACCATCTAAATAATGCTTGGGTAAATAGCAGGTGTATCACGACACATTGAACTGTGATTGACTTAAGTTTTATAAATTAAATATAATTTCTAGGCCCTAAAGTCTTAACGACTCAACAGAATATTTTTTCGAAAATTATACATACGTATAGTGAAAATACACTTTGATATCTCATAAAAACTCATTTAATCAAATTAACAGTCACCACTGTTTTATGCTAAGTAAAACAATACCGCGTATTCAGATGCAACAACTGCCATCTATTGATCGGCATGATAATCAGCTAATTGATTAAACATATGACAGTGAACAACAGTGAACTAGATTAAATGAGCAAACTGATCTGCTAACGTAAAACGGAGAAATTTATTCAAATTCAAAAATCATTTAATCTTATAGGTAACACATTGTACACTTATGATCGTCAAAAAAAAGATAGCATTATTGCATATAGAGGTCGATATTTTGTAATTATTATAACAATAGAAAAAAAATCGCTTTATTCGTTCAGCTTAAACACCTTTTGTTTTCTCTCGCAAGGTAACGTTACTTAATAATTTCTTAATATTTATCAAAATAATGTCCGGTTCAAACTACTTCTTTGGTTACGTCATATGTTTCATAATTTAATATAATATGTATTTACAATTTTACTCCAGTTACGATTCGACCTATAACTGACCCCTTGTACCACGTCCATATCTTAGTCAACACATATAGTAGATGCAGAAATATATTATATCCTATTGGTGGAATACTCAAAAACCTTAAAATATCGACTCGACTATGTATTCCAAGCATTAGAATCCGTCGTAATAGTTCTGTATAAAGATTGCGGACTATATTTCTATTGTGTTGTGTTACAGAGGTCACAGACTAATCAACTCGTTTCCTGCTGCATAGTGGTTTTAAAGTTTTATTACAATTAGAGCGACATTTTTAAATAGGTGAAACTAAGGCGTATTTTAAAGATTTGTTTCAAGACAAAATCTCGATTTGAGTACGTTCAAAAATTGTAAGTCAGAATCGTTGATGATATGGATTTCGGCCAGATATTTTAACCAGAAAAACAGAATTTTGGCTAAAACGGTTGTGTACAACTTAAATATTGACTACGTAGACGAATTGGTGCATATCAATCGGCTATAAATAAATCTTAACTGTTCCTAATATTTTGCGAGGTCCTCGCAGACGACGATTGCTTAAAAGCACTCGATTCGTCGAGTTATATTAATAATTCGCCTTTACATCCGCTAAATGCATTAAAGTGCAGTACCCGTGTAAGGCCGTTTCTCCACTGCGGTCCGGCAAACGTTAATTACCGATCCGATTTAGAAACTCACAACAGTACTTAGGTACTTCTCCACTACTCCGGCATCCGGTTTTTAACGATCCGATAACTTGCTAGATCGGAACGCGGTGTTTTATCGGTCCAAGTATCCAAGAGGTTATAAATTATTATTCACAGGTTTATTTATAGTTTCTTTAATTTGAAAGAATCTGGATAACCTGGACCAAACCGAATTATGTTGCTATTTACTTATATTTTTATACCATAGTATTAGTCAACTATTTATTAAGTAGATTATAATATTTTAAGATAGACAATATAAAAAAAGTAATAAACTTGCCAGGGCAATAAAATATTCAGAATTTAGAACCTTTTATTAACAAAATAAAGTATATGGGTTTTAGTTAATATAAGTGTTGCATGATAAATATACAAGTATCGATTATTGTCTGATCGGATATAGTGGAGAAGCGCAATCCGGCCTTCCGATATTTTTCTCATGACTCATTCCGGTATCCGACGCCGGAACGGAGCAGTGGAGAAAGGGCCTAAGAGCAAATCAATATAATGTTCATAAGCAGAAATTATCAGCAGTGTTAGACTAAACGCACAACTTAACTTTGGTTTCGTGCGGTGGAATCGCTCTGACCATTAGATTTTTGTTTCTATGTACAAACACTTTCGTACGGTGAAGGAGAGCATCGAAAACTGGTATTAAACACAAAATTCGTCGTCATGTGTCAGGCACCGAAGTCTGATCATAGGTATTGTGTATGTTTAAAAAACCTTTATGGTCCGATTAATGACTTGATTATAATAATATATAATTAATAAATACATTAACGAAACGTATAACAAAGTTTACTCTAATCGCTATAAAAATAAGAAGTTATGAAAAGCCTCTTGTGAACCCATCAAAAAGCGAGTATTGTGAGATGACCTTCCTCGCGGCCATACTAATCGCAGATTGAATTACCTTCTTGTAATTAAATCTTTAAACCAACGTTGTTTCCTCATCAATAACTGTGGACACCACGTTTCCCTAATTAAACGATGAGATTAGTTTCCTTATGTAACCAAGATATTTGATATTATTTCACCTATTTACACCTTTCAAAAACATTCCTTATATGATATGAATGCTATTTTTATTGTTTAATTTGAAGTTTCGAGTGCTTTACAGTCGTTTACCATCGAGTCCCTAAATATTGTTGTTAACACTGTAATGGCGAAAACGAAAGACAATACCAATTACGTGTTATATTACGACAATTAATAAACTTAAAATAATTAACATTAACCGCATCTCAAAACAATATTAAATAATCCACACTAATATTTTCTCGAGTAGGAACCAAACAATCACCATTTAATTGGTGATATTTTATTTTATATAAAATGTTTTGTGCTCATGTACATAACTATAATATTATTGCCATTGTATTATTGTAGCGTCATTTAGCCGCACGAATGGTGCATATCCCTATGGAAATTGAAGCAAGGCGAACAATCAATACAACGAACTAGAAAAAGAGCCTTGAGAAACAAGGTATCAATTGATTTTTGGGAGTAGTTGATGTGTGCATGCATATATTGCTTTCAAACAGAATAAGAGGTCAGAACTTTCTTCTATACTATAAAGTTAAAGAATAATTTTTGGTTAAACGTTATTCTTTGTACTTCTATTTTAAGGGTAACTTTTACACACGCGAAAAATACTTCTTTTTTGAGAACTTTCATTAAATGCACTGCGGTAATAGTGAAGTCATGAAAAATATATGTGTGTCGAATGTGCTCATATTAGCCCCCGAATGAATGCGGATGGGGTTCATGTCACTGATGTAAAGCAAACGAATTCTAAAACTTGTAAATATTACTGTGTTAGTTCTTCTGCGACAAATTTTTCAAGGTCGCATTATTGATTTACTTTGCGTCTCGCGTTTACACTATTTGACTTGGCATTAAACCAACAATTAAAAAACATTTCTTACTCACATTATTTCATGATCTTGAGAAAAAAGGCCGGGTTAACATGTTTTATTTTGCCACCATTAGTGACCGTAGCAACTCGTTCACTAATTCGTAATAGGGTTAACTCAAATATTGTCAATCAAAGCCTCAAGTAAAGTTTACCCGCAAGATTTGAGGACATCCCTGGCACGCTGCTTCACATCATCAGGGAAGTTACCCGTCTCTATTATCTCTGGGTTCGCCACACATGATAGCACCTAGGAAATAATAAGTGTTAACATTCCAGTATTGCTCTAGCGTTATTAACTCTTGAGAATATTACCTGTCTAATAAATGTGATCGGTTGCTGTCCCATCGCATGCGCATCTCCGATATTTGCCTTTATCACTCTTTTGAACGGTTTGTCGGCACCCTACGGATAGATCAATTATACAACAATTTAATTGTTATTTTAAGATTCAGTTTCATTTAAATAAGACTTACGATGCGAGACAGTGTAGGTGATGCTTATAAATAATTGTATATACTATATGTAATGTATTCCAATGTATATGTATTTTGTAAATGAGGCTGAGGACGATCTAATTTTAGTTTATAATGTTCATAGTTAAATATTAGCATATTAGTGCTAATTTCAAGGTCACATTCGTCACTCAACGCAACTAAGGCTATGTTCACATGTAACGCGCGCAAAATTTTTGTATAGTGTTCACATGACACGCGCTTGCCAGGCGTTGAACGCGCGTTGCCGCGACAACCATGGTTCAGTCAGTTGAGTTCTTAATTTGTCGAAGATGGACGTAGAAACAGTTTTAACGGTGATATTATACCGACCGTTGAAACGACGCGACATAAGACGGAGATATTGCGTCCACCCAATTTTGTCAACCAGGCTGACTGAAAGCCAGTACATAATCTTGTATCCTAAATTAAGGCAATTCGGACGATTCTCTATTTCGTTCGAAAATTGGTATAAATAATTCCGTGTTAAAAGCTTCGGTTTCCATTTCGGACGATTTCTGGATGACCCGATGAACACTAAAATACGTCCATCCGCGTCGAAAGCGCGCGCTCAACTGAACGGAAGTATGGAAAACCAATGATCTCAAAGCGCGCGTTGACGGAACGTCAGCATGTGTACGGCCTGAATAAGTTGTTATGTAGTTGTAAACGCGCGTTATCAAAACGCGCGTTGAGCGCTTGTCATCGGAACGTACCCTAAACGTTCAACACGTAACTGTCGCTTATCAGACATCCATTACAATAACCGATAGCAGATGTTAAGAAATTAATTTAATAATGATTTTGTAAAGATAACATAAATTTCCACAGCTCGATTTAATCAATGTGTAAATGTGTGTGTGCCAGAGGTACTGGCGTTTTTACATATAAGATGTTTCAACAACAAATACATCTGCCCCCGAACCCATTGGCGCATTTATATTAAGCCATTCATTTGATTAATGTTGCTTTGTGGCACTTATTCAACAATATTAATGACATTTACAGGTACAGAAGATTTATCGTGGTAATAAGTTTAATCTATTTTATCTTGTAATTTTTATAACTGTTAACTGATTATTAAACATAATAAAACACGATAAAATACCATTACTGTGGAATACCTACTTACAATGGTAGTAAGGTAAATAGAATTATGTAAGTTCAACAAACACTATTTTGCAGCAATCATTCAATTGTCACAAGCGCTTATCATGTGATCTATGAAAATAAGAATGACAAGAAATTTTATTTGATAATGTAGCAGTTTCATTATTAGTATTCATTAAAAAAACTATCAATGTTATTGCACTGTTTTAAATAAAGTTCTCTTTTGTATATTTCCTTCCAAATTTTTACCCAGAAAAGAGATAGATCAATGCTTTTATTAAAAAAAATTAATGAGTGAGTTTAGTATTTATGAAAAAATGGAGTAAATCTACAAATTAAACATGTAATACCAAGCTTTCATTGTATAAACAATACCTGTGTGATGTTGATAACTATAAGTGATGAATTAGTATAATAGTATTCCTTAGGAATTACCTTGAATATTTAAAATTTTTACAGTACTTTAGCATAACAATATTCATTTAAGTATTGTATAACCTAAGAAATAGGACATGAATCATTTGGGTATATCAATATAACTGACATTAAGACAGGAAATATATAGTAATGAATGGTAAATAGGCAAAGCTTGTAATGTTTGCCAACATTTACTTCAAATAAACACTTATTTATAGCATTGCATTACATTCTGCCTAAAATAATACTTTCAACAGTTAAATTATGTATTGAAATTTTATTTAAAAACACGTATATTAAGACTTTTTTTTTAAAGAAAAACAAGTGTTTTAATAATTATTGTTGTCAGTTGTCAGGTCTAATAAAACAGTAAATGGTCTTTTTCAAGGTTATATGTAGATATTATTAAGACACATTAAATACATTAAATTGTTGTTATCTACAATTATTTAAGAAAAACATCTTGTTAAATGCTGTTACCTAGTGTAAAAATTAATTAACCTGTGTTAGAAACTTTAATTGTATTTATTTTTAACTTTATTTGCTTTTTTTAAATTTAATCAAGGAAATATTTTATATATATACCTTTTGCAATTCCTTTTCGATTTCGCCGGCACGGGTTACTAGGGGTCCTCGAACCGCGTATTCTAACTTTACAATGTTAGGGTTTATGTTATCCATAGTGATTGCCTTTGAAGCCATAGTTCTAGTATTTGGGATTGGGTATGTATTGCGAGAAAGTAGAATTGATAAATCTACCGATCGAGACCGTAATCCTTTGCTTGATAATCTGCAACTGGCAACCGCGCGACCTATCATCTTTGCTGATGACATGCTGTAATCAATGACACTCCTCTTAATACGTCACTATCACTAAAACTTCAATGAAAGCCACAAAATTGCCGCATAAAACCGTATACAATTTAAACACTTGGATATAAGCACAATTCAGTTTAGATAATAGAAAACTAGATAAAACGAAATATTATTTAAACGTTTGGAACCGGCCGCGACACTTGACTAGACCCAACCAAGTTAAAATCGATATTTCGTTCAACAATCAGAATTGTTTGTAAAACAACTTCTTTGTATAGATAACACTATATATGTGGAATAAGATAATTGTCTTTATTGCGTAGTGAAGAAAATATGGATTTGACCTTACAATATAGGTTACCTGATAGCTGTTTATGTAATCCAAGAAAGCTGTCTGTTCTACTATGAAATTCTCATTAAATATCTAGTGGTTAAAATTTGTATGAAGATCGAGCGGCTGCACTAATAATAAAAATCTTAAACGTCTTACATATTATTAATTAGTTATGTATTTAAGTTTATTATTTATAATTTAATAATTCTATTGATATTTGTTGACATTATGACATTGTCATATATGTGCCAAATTATGACAGTAACATTTTGCTGCGGTTTGGTAATCAAAGATCTTCTAAGAGTCAGATTTATAAAAGCTGTCAAGGCAACTTAGAAAATTATTTATCGTATATTTTATTTAAACATTTGTTTTATGTTTTAAAGGAATGTTATCTTTATAATATATAAAAAAATTGTTGTATTCCCCTGCCATCTATACTAAAAGGGTGCTAGCGTGATAAACTACGAAAAAGTATTGACATAATTAGTTTACTTGATGAATATAGATGGAACTGATAAAATTGTTAAGGCACACGCAGACACAATGCACTAGATGCGGATTGCAGATTCTAGGAGTGCAAAATATATTTATGAAGTATTATTACTTAACGCACGCTTGTCTTCCTAAATTTTATTTGGCAAATTCTGTAACGTGATTTACATCGTGTGCGTATTTAACGTATTCTATATTAAATATATGGAAATAATAAAAAAAGTAATAAATTAATTGTCTTTTATTTCATTTTTACATTCGACTAAAGTCAATAAACTAAACTAAAATTCTATATCATAATAATCCCAATACAAAAATATTTCATCTTCTTATGTATATTGACAGGTTTGTAACATTTACATTCGATAACTTTATAGAAGCGTTCCGCGAACGCTCCCGACGCAGGATTGTGATGATTCAATTAAAATATTAATTCCTTTAAACGTATTCGCACTCGTTTAAACAGAATAAAGAGCACATATATAATTTCCCATTAAAACGTACATCACAACGCTGCATATTTACAATTCATTCTTTATAAAAATCGACATTTAACATAACAACAACAGAATACGTCACACGTCTTATGGCAACCCTCGACGATCCCACGAATCTTCACGTTCCATAGACATTAATAAAACACAACATATACTTTACATAGTCTTACAACGAAATAAATAAATTCTATCCTAATAGTTACGTCTTATTGTCCAACGAGAGAGGCCTCTCCGAGAGAGAGAGGTCGCTCCGTGATATGATTGCTTTCAGAGATGACGCGTAAGTACGGCCTCAGGAAGGAGAGCGACGGAAAGGGAGATAGAAACAGTTTATAAAATATATAGAAAGAGACAACAAAGGTATAGATAAGATTTACTCTGTATAGCCGACGGAACTTACGTCCGAGCCGCACGAGCGCCTCGGAGCTGCACTTCTGCAGAGCTGCAGAGGTCGCACAGGGCCACTCGAAACTTAAACCTAATAAATTCATAGCGGAGTGGAGCCGGACGACTCCCGTGCGGCTTCGAAATCGAGGTCGATAGACCGTATCAGTTAGGAGAGGACGACGTGTGCGCGGCGGCGGGGCCTCCACGTCGTCAGCTTAATGACGAGAGCGCGCGCTGCGCTGGGCCCGGGCGGGGCCTCCGGGCGGGGCGGGCCTCGGGCGGGCACCACCCGCGCCGGCCGCCGCTAGCACTCGCGGTCCTCGCGCACCAGCTGCTGCGTGTCCACGCCGGTGTCGGCCGCGGGGTCCAGGGCGCGGGGCCTCTTACCGGGAACCCCGCGGGTTTCGGTCGACGAGGGCGAGATCACCGCCGATACCACTTTTTCTTTCAGCTCCTCGGGTACTTCGTATATTCCGGCTGAAGAATAAAATGTTTTTACCGGGCGGTGTCGTTTATTAAAAAAAAGAATTGTCCAATTACCGTAAACTGTCGGCTAGATGTTGAAATATGTCTTTTTACTGCAAAACTTACGCAACGGTTCCGGTTCGGGCAGAGCCGATCTCGTGACGGCGTCGTACATAGGGTTCGTGAAGTCTCTGCCCTTGCGGGGCTCCAGAGAATAGTCAACGTGGGAAGCGGCGGGTCCCGCGGGGCCCGGAGTGGCCACGCCGCCTAACTCCACATTGGAACCTGGTCTGAACGACACGCTTTGAGACGAAGCCAAACTGCTGAGTCCGCTGACTTTGCCGCTGAAACATCAAGTACAGATTAAATATCTTGTAGAGCGAGCTGTTTTGTTAATTGAGGTCGAAATAACATAATGTGAAGTGAGTGTAAACCGTCCCAAACGGGGGCTTTAATATCCGGTCCAAAGTAGTCTCGTTATAATTCACTCACAAGGGCCTCTTCCTCACGACGAACCAAGCGGCGGCTCCGGCGAGAGCCAACAGGATCACCAGCAGCAGCGGCACGAGTAAGGCGGCTCCCGCCCTGGAGCTGCCGCCCGACGCTCCGTCTCCGCGAGCGCAGCGGGGTCCCTCGAGGCCGGCGGGGCAAGCGCACGAGACCGCGCCGTCCTCGCCCTCGATGCAAGTGCCGCCATTCTCGCACGGACACGCCAGAGGCAGAGCGCGGGGAGGCTCCACGGCTGGAATAAGCGTTTGTCGGTTAGACGAGGTCGATCGGCACCATAAATTTTGTACCATATTCTTGCAATAAATAAATTACTATTATTATTAAAAAAAAAGCGGAGCGAGCGTGTCGGGTGTCCTTACCGGCGTCGCAAGGCTGGTCTCCGGTGGCCCGTTTGGGCGCGTACTGCTGGTCGGGGCAGGCGCAGCGGTGTCCCGCGGGCACGGCCAGGCACAGGTGCGAGCACGGCGATCGCCCACAGGCCGACCGAGCCGATGACGTGTTGTAGCGGGAGGGGTGGTACACTGCGTTCGAGAATGTGAGCGATTAGAAGAGGGTGACACGGTGTATCATGCGAGGGAGCGATGATGATGGGATTTTCACTCACCTTTGACGGCGGCCGGGTTGGCGAGGTCCTTCGATATGACGAACGGCACGCCCCTTCCGAACTTGTCTTGTCTCACCAGTTCTCCCGTGTCGCGGGTGACCCAGTATAGCGACGATTCGAAGACGTCCAAGGACACGGGGTGCTTCAGCAGCTCGCCCTGGAGCACCGTTCGCCGGTTGGAGCCGTCCGGTCTCATGGACTCGATCGTGTTGAGCTTGGTGTCCGCCCAGTAGATGGTGTGCTCCATGGCGTAGTCGATCGCCAGCCCCGTCGGGTGTCTGACATTCTCCGTCACGATGGGGCGGCGCTTGGAGCCGTCCATCCACGCGGTCTCTATCTTGGGAGCGGATCCGGCGTCCGCCCAGTACATCTTGCCCATCTGCGGGTCTAGGGCCAGTGACGTGGGCGCTTCGATTCCGGCCGAGACGAGCGCGCGTCTGTACCTTCCGTCGTTTCGGGCGACCATCACTCGGCCCTTCGGCTTGGAGCCGGTCCGATCGGCCTCCGTCCAGTAGAGATTTCCTCCGACGTAGTCGACGGCGATTCCGGTCGGTTTGGCGTTCGCTTTGCTCTTTAAGTCTTGCGCGAACCCGCTCTTGACCTGCCCGTCGAGAGCGTTGACCATGTACGATCGTTTGATGGACTTGTCGTAGCTGTCCACCCAGAATACCATTTCCTGTTTCGGATCGTAGTCGATCGCTTCGATTCTCTTTTCGGAGGCGATGACGTCGAACTCCTCGTTCTTATCCTGGACGAAGGCGCGTATTTCGGGACCGTTGGCGAACATCAGAATTATTTCACCCTCTGTCGCTTTGCACACCCCAGAGAAATTATCAGCCAACCTGTAAATCATTTTCAATTAAGTTGAGGCTGATTTTGCGACTCACGACGCTCTATAGAAATAAAAATAATGCGTCTCTATCGTGTAGTAGAATGCAGTACCTAAATCCGTCTCGACAGGCGCAGGAGTAACTCCCGGCGAGGTTGGTGCAGAGGTGGGCACAGTGGTGGTCACCTGTGGCACACTCGTCGACGTCCACGCAGCGCTTGGTGTCCGCGGGCGAGATGATCCATCCCGGGAAGCAGGTGCAGATGTACCCGCCGCCTGTCAAGTTGCTGCACAGGTGCTCGCAACCACCTGCGGATTGGGAACTTTGATTCGCTGATATTGTATTTGTGAATAATAATCCGTCCTACACCTTAAAGATTTCTCATCTCGTGGCACAGACTGAAAATTTAGTGATTTATTATTTCGCCGAACTAACTTAATATGGAATTAATTAAATAATCGAAATGACCTTTTTCCTGAACAGTGCATCCGTGGGCAAAGTGGCACCCGCGTTCGTCAGAGCCATCTCCGCAGTTGTCGTTGTGGTCACACAGAGCGGTGCGAGGCACGCAGCGGCGGTTGGCGCACTGGAACTGCGTCAGAGGGTCACAAGGCCGCGCACGCGCAGCGCATAGCGTCATGTTGTTCTCGTCGGAGCCATCGCCGCAGTTGTCTACGCCGTCGCAAACTTGGTACCTTTTACGATACATTATTTTAATAAACATATTAACAATTCATCAATCCACCGAAAGAGAAAATAACAAACGCGTAATACCTTGGCACGCATCGATGGTTATCGCAATGGAAGCGTCTGAGGGTGTCGCAGTTAAAGTTAGTGCAAATGGAAGCGGCCTCGTCCGAGCCGTCGCCGCAGTCGTCCGTCCCGTCGCACAAGTCCGATTGCGCCACGCACAGGTTGTTACTGCACTGGAATCTGAATAGACGAATGCAATTAACGTTATTTCTATGTTATCGATTGTCTGAAGTTGGCGATGCTATTATCAAAATATCAACTATGCGCTCACCTGCTCTCGGGACAGTATCTGCCGCCAGGGAATCTCGGAGGACAGCCGATTTCATCGGACAAATCTCTACAATCTCTGTCGCCGTCGCAACGGAAATAGGCTGCAATGCAGTGACCCGATTTACACTGGAACGTGCCGTTCTTACACTTGAAACCTCCGCAGTCCATCTCATCTGTGTTGTCTCCACAGTCATCTTCGTGGTCGCAGCGCCATCTGGACGATATGCATTTCCCATTTCCACATTTGAATTCGGACTCCGAGCACTCCCTATAGTTGTGTTGACAGACCGCCTCGACTTCGTCGCTGCCGTCTCCGCAGTCATCGGTGAAATCACACAGCCATTGTTTAGGAATGCATCGTTTGTTTTCACAGGTGAAGTCCGTTTCGCTGTTACAGCTTGGACAGTTTTCTGGTAACTCGTCGGAGCCGTCCCTGCAATCGTCTTTACCGTCACAGAACAGCCATTTCGGTATACACCTGTAATTTGATTGTCCTGGACACCTTCTCCAGCCCGTGGTGCAGTTCTTTTGGCGACACATGTAAGCCGGCTCATCGGAATCATCACCGCAGTCGTTGTCAAAGTCACACATCCATAATTTCGGAATACAACGTCCGTTCTTGCAGGCAAACTCGGAGTCGGGCTTGCACGGCCTATTGTGACACATTGCGGGATCTTCGTCGCTGTTGTCCTTGCAGTCAGTGTCGCCGTCGCACTTCCAGCTGTCCAATATACACCTACCGCTAGTCTTGCACTTAAATTCAAGTTGAGGACATTCGTGGGCGCACTGAGCTTCGTCGCTGCCATCGCCACAGTCGTCTGTGCCGTCGCATATAGTCGCGGCCGGTGTACAGTTAGTGTTCTTGCACTGGAATGAGCCGGCTCTGCAGTGTCTCACCGGGCAAGTGTCGGGCTCGTCGGAGCCGTCCATACAATCCTTCTCACCGTCACATTTCCAGAACCAAGGAATACACTTTTCATCGCGACCGTTGCATCTGTGTTGGCCATCAGTACAATTAGCTATACACGTTTTCATGTCTCGCGCTAAATAGAACTGGTTTGGACAAGCGCATTTATATGTGGTGGCACCTTCTTCGCCATATTCCTCGATGTTCAAATAGCTCGAGGCGTGCGGCGGCGCAATCAGACATAGATGAGAACATCCTCCGTTGTTGTTACCGCAAGGGTTCGTGTAAGGCAGTTGTCGCAAAGGATGAACGACGTGAATATCGTACGGACGGTGAGTTGTGTTCCTTAGTAAAGTTAAGTTTTCGCCGGAATGTTTATTAGCTTTGCTGATAGCTTTCAAGTTCCAGTCGGTCCAATATATTTCATCATCAAAGAGACTCAGTGCAAACACGTGAGGTACTTTACTACCGGATAGGACGACGTGCCTATGTTTCCCTTCTAAGTCAGCCGATCCGATGTAGTCCAAGTGGGCATCGGCCCAATATATTCTGTCGGTGAAGTAATCGACTGTCAAGGCGTTCGGCCACGCAATATCGTTTTCCCAGTTTAGAATAGTGCTAAAGTTAGATCCGTCCATACCCAATTTACCTATATAAGCTTGCAAGTGCCACGACGTATAATAGAGGTAGCCAGTTCCGGGGTGAACTACGATGGCTCTCGGGTCGGCTATTCCTGTTTTGAGCGTTTTTCTTCTAGTCCCATCTAACTCGGCCACATCCAAATTCTTAGAATGTCTATCCAACCAATAGATTTTTCTGCCAATCCAATCTATTGCTATACCTTCCAGGCCGTGGGAATCGTGTCTGATTACTACCTCCTTGGTTGGGTTAGGATCGGAATAGTCCGATCTGTAAATGGTTTTGGCAGAAACATCAGCGAAGTACATCTTTTGCTCTTTTATATCGAAATCTATAGCTACTACGTTCATGAGGTCTTGATGTACTAAATTGTACAGGCTGGCGTCGGTAGACATGTTTCGGACGTAGTATTTGTTGGTGAATATGACCCATGCGGTAGTGTTGTCCTTTCGTTTACACGTGTGCTCGTCGGCTTCTCTTTCATAGTATTGATCATTACATTTACAGTAATATGAACCAGGTGTATTGGAACAATATTGCGAACAGACTCCAGGTGTCTCGAGACACTCGTCGATGTCCGCGCATGCCTTTCCGTCGGCCAATAGCTTATACCCGTGGTTACAATCACAGTAGTACCCCGTCAGAGTATCGATACATTTGTGTCCGCATTGGTTGATCTCTAGCTTGGCACATTCGTCGACGTTACAGTGCGCCGGCTCATCAGAATCATCCGTGCAGTCAGATACTTTGTTACAGACCAACTTGTTATCGATACATTGGTCGTTATTACATTTGAATTGTCCGTTTGGACACGTCTTGTTGTCCTTTACACAGTCTACTTCATCCGAATGATCGCCACAATCGTCTTCGCCGTCGCATCTAAAGTGATTCCTGATGCACTTGAAGTTCTGACAGCGGAATTCTTGATCTGTGCAAGTTTTGTATTTTGTGTTACATTGCTTTCCTTCATCGGAACCATCGCCGCAATCGTTGTCGTGGTCACAAACCCAACCGGAGTTGATGCACCTTCCGTTATTACATTGGAACTGATCATCCGAACACGGTGTCGGTGTAGAACAATGGTGAATTGTAGAGTTTTCATCGGCGCCATCGATGCAGTCTGGATCACCATCGCAAAGCCATTTCTTAGGAATACACTGAGCTCTGTTCCAGAGCCTGTTCTCTTCACAGGTGTACTCGGTTTCAGGATCACATTTCCTTTCGTTGCATTGATGTCGTTGGTCTTCATCACTATTATCTAAGCAGTCGTTATCTCCATCACAGATATAAATTCTTGGAATACAGTTTCCATTATCACAGGTGAACAAATCTCCGAAGCACGTTCGACCTTCTAAACGACAATATTCCGGCGGTTCGTCAGCTCCATCTCCACAGTCGTCATCTCCATCACAGTACCAGGTAGCGGGAATACAGCGATGGTTCGGACAGCGGAAACTGTTTTGCGGGCACGTTCGCTGAGCGCAATGTAGAGGATCTTCATCCGAATTGTCTCCACAGTCATTATCTCCGTCGCACAGCCAGTATGGTTCCACACAAATATTGGTCTTTTCACATTTTAGGTGATTAGGAGGACAAGTGGTGTTCCTCGGGCATCGTTCGTGCGTTTCATCCGAAGTAATATTATCTTTGCAGTCATTTATTCCGTTGCAGACCTGCGACATCGGAATACACCTCGAATTGAGACAAGTGAATTCTCCCGGTGCACACGGTGGATAAACGCAGCTTTCCTCGTCGGAACCGTCCTTGCAGTCGTTCTCGTGATCACATTTCCAAGACTTGAATATGCAGCGGCCATTATTGCAGCGGAACTCGTTAGGCGAGCACGAGTGATAGGCGCAGTAGTTGTAGTCTTCGTCTGAGTTGTCTCCGCAGTCGTCGTCACCGTCGCAGGACCACATGCGACTGATGCATTTACCGTTCGCACAGAAGAATTTGCTAGGGTCGCACGTTATATTCTTCGACACACACATTCGACCTTCATTGACCAGCTTAGTGTTATCGTCACATTTACATTCGACAGATTTATTGGGGGCAGGATGACAGCTGTGCGCGCAACCGCCGTTATTAATTTCACAGAGATTCGTTTGACACTTCTGCCTGCTTTTACTGTATATGTGGATATCTCGCGGAGAGTCTTCGAGCCGCTTAACCATTTCGATCATATTGGCGCCCGTGTGCTTCTCTGCCCGATAAACACCGCGCAGCTGTAAGTCGGTCCAGTAAATATAGTTTCTAAACACTGTTATAGCGAATGGATAAATCGTTGCAGATATGAGAACTTCTCTATCGGAACCGTCTAATTTCGATCGCTCTATCTTTTCTCGCACGGCATCTGTCCAATATAACATATTTTCATCAAAATCGATGGTCAATCCACTGGGTTGTGACAAATCTTTATCGATGATGGCTTTCTTTAACGAACCGGCCATAGTAGTTCTGTATATCTTTCCGGACGTCCCGAAGCGGCCCCAATCAGTGTAATATAAAGTTCCATTGCACGGGTCGACCACAATGGCTCTGGGCCTCTCGACTCTCGCGATCATCACTAGTTCGGTGCCGTCTAAGTTCATGGCGTAGATAGAGTTATTTGAACTGTCAGTCCAATAGATTTTTTCTTGTGTCCAATCGTAGGAGATACCTTCCGGATTGATATTTTTGTTGATGATATTTTTAATTGTAGAGGGATCCGGATTATTCGCAGACATAGAGGCTATTCTAGCCCACGGTCGTATTTGCGTAAAGAATAATTTGTTATCTGCATAATCAAACTCTACCCCGACTACGTTTGTGAGATTACCGATGGGTTTGAACGGTACGCCGGTAGACTTGGGATCTAAATTGATAGCGCGGATTTCAGTCCTCGTGGTGAAGACTACATATTCATCGACCACATCACACTTCTTGGGATTGTTGGCCGATATCTGTCCGGTGGCGCAGTCACAGCGATGCGTGTATCCCATGTTGGCGTCGGGCGGGTAGCTGAAGCACAGTTGGTCACATCCTCCGTTGCCCAGTTTCCTACACGGATTGTTTTCGTCCGTCGGCTGACTGTTTATGTCAAATATAACAATGTCTCGCAGCTTAGGAAGATTGGTTCTCAGCTTCTCGGGCATAGACATGTTTCCTGGCAGCTTGGAAGCTTTGTAGATCGTTTGTAAGTTCCTGTCGACCCAGTAGACGCTGCCGGTGTGAATCGCTATGCCCATCGGGTTCGGCAAGTTCGATCGAATCAACTGTCTGTTTCCCCCACTGTATGAAATTTTCTGAATTTGGTCCAGTTTCGAATCGACCCAGTACACGTCGTGCGTGAGCATATCGATGGTCAAATCTCTCGGATTGGATATCCCCGAAGTGATAAGAGTTTGCCAGTTGCTTCCGTCGAGGTACGACTTGCCGATACGCGGATATTGCCCGTAATCTATCCAGTACAGGAGCCTCTTTATAGGGTTGACGGCCAACTCGCGCGGGGCGTCCATGGTCCTCTTCACTATCACTTTTCGGTGTGATCCGTCGAGCCACGACATCTCCACGTAGTTCTCGTGCGGGAAGACATTCGTGAAGTAAAGGTTGCCGGCCACCCAGTCCACCGCCAAACCCCTGATTCCGTTGCTGCCGATGCCGTCCTTGATGACGTGCTGCAATTCGGTACCGTTGGGACGAATACGAAATATTCCATTCCACGTGCCTCGATTGAACTCGACCCAGTAGATGTAGTTGTCGGCGAAGTGGACGTCCACGTGCAGGATGTGGTGTCCGAGGCCGGTGACGGGCACCATGGCCTCGGCGCTGCCCTCGAGGCTGTAGCCGCGAATGATGTCCAGCTGCGAGACCACCGCGAACGTCTTGTAAGGTACGCAGTTCACTTCGTTCTCCTTCCTGTAGCCGACGGAGCAGGCGCAGACGCGAGAGCCGCCCTCGCTTGGGATGCATATCTGCTCGCATCCTCCGTTGCTCTGGAGACACGGATGGTGAATAGTTTTCCTCTTTTGGAATATTGTCAGCGATTTGAGGTCGCTCTCGTTGTCCAGGATGACCTTGACGTTGTCGCCGTTGGGGAGGTCGGCTTTGAAAATCTTTTCGTACCGCTGATCTAGTACGTAGAGCCTCGAGTCCAAGACGGCGATGACTTTGGGATACGCGATGGCCTGCGCCTCCGTGAGAATAGTCTTTCTGTCGTTTCCTTCCGTGTTGACGCTGTTGATGCTGGCCGGGAACTGGGTGCTGAAGTAGATAAGTTTCTTCTCGATATCGACGGTGACCGCTGCCGGTCTCTCTATGGCGTCCACTAATATGACCGGATACGTTCCGTCCATATTTACTTTCCCGATCTTCGTTGGTACTCCGTAACCTCCTTCGTCGGCCCAGTAAATCTTTCTGAAAAATAAGTTAAAAATTTGAGTTATCACTTTGATCTTTAGTGTTGAGAGTATACTTTTGCAAATAACAGCTGCTCACCCTTCTGTGGGATCCAGACAGATATCCTTAGGTTTGGCGATCGAGTTCCTGCTGCCGTCGTTCGCAAAGACAATAGTTCTGTACTTGACTTTGCCATCGACTCTGATGAGTTCAATATTACTGGCGACTCTGTTAGCCATGTACAAGTTCCGTCCCAGCCAGTCGAATGCTATGGAGGACGGAGCCCCCACGACGCCACTGTCCTGTCCGAGGAACTCCGCCTTGCTTCCCCCACCGTACGGCATGTTGTACACGGTGCAGTTTTCGTCATCCTCGCCATCTCCCGATATTGATTGAAGCCAGTACAACATGTGGCCTTGGCGATCGTAGTCCAGCTGAACACCGCCTGAAAACATTGTTAGGTTTTTTTGGGATCTACATTTTACTACTAAATTAATTAATATTTCGAAATTATATGAGTAGTTATTACTTACCTTGGATTCCGACAACGGGAGGTAATTGACCCGCTCTTCCCGAGCCATCGGTCGACAGATCGATGATCTGTGATCCTTTTAGTACCATTAAGTACGGACTTTCTTCTGCAAAAAGTAAATTCATATGTCAATCATAATAGTCTATAGCATAAAACAGGAGTATCTGACGAGTATGCAAAAAACAATTACCCTCTGTACATTTTCCATCAGGCAAAAGTTTGAAGCCGGGCCTGCACATGCAGGTGTAGCTGCCGGCACCCTTGGGGCTGAGCAGGCAGATGTGCTGGCACGAGTCGGGCTTGCAAGGAGACGCGTACTGGGGCTGCAGCGAGGGGTGATGTACGTGGATGGACAGCGGCTGAGAGATCAGGTGAGAGACCACCGTCTGGTTGGTGCCCTTGAACTTGTGAGCCGATAGCACCCGGTTTAGCTGTCGATCCGTCCAGTACAGCGTATCCTCGAACAGCGTTAGCGAGTGGGGATGCAGCAAATAGTGGCTTCCCGCGAGCACCTGCTGCCGGCCGGAGCCGTTGTAGTAGCAGAAGTCGATAAAGTCCAGTTTAGAGTCCGCGAAGTACACTCTCTGCGTGGCCGTGTCCAGAGTTAATCCGTTGGGCCAGTAAATTTTAGTGGTTATTATGGCCGTGCGTTGCGTCCCGTCCATTCCGACTCTTTCGATGCGCGGGTTCTCACCCCAGTCGGTCCAGAACAGCCACCTCGCGTCGGGAGCGGGGTCCAGACACATGCCTCTGGGCTGAGTGATGTTCGCGCTGACGAGAGCGGTTCGGGAACTGCCATCCTCCTTGGCGACCTCGATGGTGTTCAATTTGCTATCGAGCCAGTATACGTTTCCCCCGACCCAGTCGTAAGCCAAGCCCTCGACTAGATCCAGGCCCGTGGATATGAGAATTTGGGGCTCGCTACCCCGGTCCAACCTCGAGATGGTCTTCAGTTTCATGTCCGACCAGAATATGGTGCCGGTGTGCATGTTGGAGGCGGTCGCGACGACGTTTTCAACGTTGATCGGAACTCGTTCCAGACCCTGCTCGTTGAGGTCGGCCACGAGGATGGAGTGTCTGTTGGAGATGATGAGGAAGGCGCTGGAGTGGTTGTTCGCTTTGCAGGAGTGCTTGTCAGCCGCGAGCTGATACCCGTCGATGCAGCTACAGAAGTAAGAGCGCTTGGTGTTGAAGCAGACCTGCGAGCAGAGGCCGGCCGGCTGGCACTCGTCGATGTCGCGGCACGTGAAGCCGTCCGCCTCCAGCTCTTCCCCGCTGGGGCACAGGCACAGGGGACCCGACGGAGTCTGCTTGCACTCGTTGGAACAGAGCCCGTTGCGGTGCTGACATTCGCCCAAGTCACATCCCTCACCTGTCGAACGTGTGCAGAGTTAGATGGCGGTCATTTTCTTTTCGTTCACTTTTCCCTCACTGCTTACCACAGTTGTTTTTCTTTTAATGTTAATTCGAAAATTGTTTGTAAGTAAGTTAAGTTAAGTTATTTTATTTTTTAAGAACAGCATTTCACTGACCGCCGACGCCATGACCACCAAATAGTTCATAAATACGTAGAGATCGAGATACCTTCGTCGGCGCCATTGGGACAATCCATATTGCCATCGCACACTTGCGTAATGTTGACACAACGGTCGGTGACACCGGGGCATTGCCACTGGTTGGATGGGCACCTGGAAATAACAAATAAAACAGTCGTCTGGAAAATAATAAAACAATTGAACCGCTTTTGAAACGAAAAGTTAAGTGAATATACCGGAACGGGGGAGGCTTGCAGGCGTGCTCCAGGCCTTCGTCGGAGTTGTCCCCGCAGTCGTCTCGTCCGTCACAGACGTAAGAGCGGAAGACGCAACGCCCGTTGCCGCAGCGGAAGTGGCCCGAGGGACAGGACATGGAGCCGCACGCCGCCGGTTCGTCCGATAGGTCCTCGCAGTCCGGGGTGCCTGAAAATATGCCAGTAAAAACATATGTAGGGGTTTCATATTATTATCATGTAACGCGACACGTTCACATTCGTTATATTTACATTGTATAAATGGTTAATTGTATTACTAATTTTAAGAGAATTGTATGCGTTTTCTTTTTCCTCATAAGGGGAGAATATTGTAGGGGTTTATGTATACCACACATTTTGTATAGCGACGGTGTGTAGAGTACAATTGGTAGCACCGGTTCTTCCGACGCGCAATAAAATATTAACTACTGATTATGTTTAATTTCCTACACACTCCATGACTAGGTGGCTGCACACGTGAACACCTAAACATATTTAGATATGTAATTACGAAGTGCCACTCACCGTCGCAGTACCAGGTGTGCGGAATACAGATGCCCGAGGTGCGGCACTGGAACTGCTTGTCGGGCGCACACTGGTGCGGTGCCAGAGAAGGGCAGCCGGCCTCGTCCGAGCCGTCGTTGCAGTCCGGGATACCGTCGCACTTGTACGCCTCCTGCGAGACACGTTCTGTTTGTTTGAATAGACGTTCACTCGGAATAGAGACAGCTTAAAGTCATTCAATTCACCTGCACGCACTGCTTGAGGTCGGCGCACTTGAACTGCGACGCGAGGCAAGAGACGGGCGGGCAGTCGGCCTCGTCCTGTTTGTCGAAGCAGTCGTCGTCTCCGTCGCATACCCACGACGAGGGGATGCAGTGCCCCGTGCGGGGACACGTGAACTGAGGATGGAACGATTGAATCCAAAGAACCGTTTAACTTAAACATATTTAACTAGATTTAACGTCTCTCACCTGGAAATAAGCACACGTCTTCTCGGCGCAGTGCGACCCTTCATCCGAACCGTCTCCGCAATCGTTCTCCGAGTCACACTTCCAGGTATTCGGCACGCACCGGCCGTTGTCGCATTGGAACTGCGAGGCGCTGCAGGTCACGTTGACGCATCCGGTCTCGTCCGAGAAGTCTCCGCAGTCGTTCTCGGAGTCGCATTTAAACGTCGCCGGAATGCATCGTCCGGATTTGCACATGAATTCCGACGCGTTGCACGTCGACTCTGAACGAGTGGAAATTACTTAAAATGACTGTTCGGGGTTGGTATAAATTATAAAGATATTTAAAGAGACAATTATTTATTTAAACTGGAATGGACTTAACTAGTGGGGTGAGATGAGACTGGGATAAGAGTCGCGCCCGGTACGACGTCTGAATGCGAACTAGCTCCAGTGAATATAATAAAATATAATGGAAATGAATACACTAGCAAATCGTATTGCTTCATGGTAGCCCAAAGGGTCATAATTTTTTGAGATTTCAGTCAATAATTGTAGCTTAATAGAGGTAATACTTGGGATATAATTAATAGGATAAAAGATAAATTCGTCGGCATTGGGATTCCAACGAAGGCCTAAAGTTTTTCTTGACTCCTGGTGCTTAAAGTCGATTTTTTTTTCAGAATAGTTCATGTCTTCTAAGAGGAGAGGTAAGTTTGAACACCATTTTCTAAGTTTGAAACCTCCAGATTTGAGTAGTTTAATTAAATCGTCCTTCAACTCTATTGCTATTTGCGCGGAGTGACTACCATGCAACAGATCATCCATGTAAAATGAGCTTTTTTACACAGCAGGTGCGATACTATAAGGATAATTTGATCGCTCATCGTTAGCGAGTCTTTTCAGGATTATATTGGCTAAGAAAGGTGCGGCCTTAATTCCATAAGTTACAGTCGCTAGTTGAAATTCACCTAACGGTAAGGATTCATCATCTCTCCAAATAATCTTCTGGAATTTTTGATGTTCTGAATGAAGTCCTTGTTGTCCTTGTTGTATGTCCAAAAAAATATAAACGATTTTAAAACAAATGGTGACCTTCACTTATATGGAAATTGTATTCGTTTTTACAACAAACTCCCAAGCGAAATTAGAGAATTATCACTAAATAAATTCAAAGCCCTCGTTAAACGGCAATTAATCAATAAAGCGTTTTATACATTTGAGGAATACTTAAATGATCCTAATCCTTGGGATTGATTTGCTCCAGTTCAAACAATTTGTATGACAATACTTGGCGATTAGCAGAAAGAAAAGAGTGGCGGAAAGTTTCTTGCCAGTTCTTCTTACCCGCTCTACGCCATTGACTTGCGAACTGGTAGTAAATGTAAATTTACAATTAATTTAACTTGACAATTCAAAAGTGTACTTGGTTACCCACTTGAATAAAGATATTTTGAGTTTGAGTTTGAAGCCAAATATTGCGAAACATTCCTCTATGTTGGCCGTTGCGTTTTTCAATAACTTTATTACTGGAATATGTCGTTTGCGAAATAACCATATTCGTAGAATAAGTAAACATAGGATTATTATAACTTTGTTTAAAGTTATGATTAAAATTTTTAGCAGATGATGTTTGATTATATAAATCTAAAGTTTTGATGAGATACTTTTGACGTGTGAGTTTCTTGCTTCTTTCGTGAAGTTTCTAGGATCATAAACATGGTTTCTAAAATCTGCAAAAAATCTTGTAATACAGGTAAATTCTCTCGGCGATTTCAAAGATTGTATGCATTGTACGTGTCTGCGAACTTCTGAGACAATATACAAACAAGGAAGGGATCCCAGGAAGAAACGTTAATTCCAAGACTTTCTATCGCATATACGTATATAGGTACTCTCGTTTGTAACATCGTGAATGCGTTTGATATGATTGTATAATAAGAGATTGTTAAGGTGAGATGTGAATATTAGGCGTTGTTTATTATCAGCGATGACTGAGAATATTCCAGCAAATGAGATAATTATCTAAGTTTACTTGGAGATGTTCTCAGGTTCACCCTTACAGACCCACCAACTTATCTGTAAAATGGAGAAAATGGGAACTACGGCCGCCATGTTGAAATTCGGCAGCTACAGGTTAGTGTTGTCTACTTTCTTTTTGTAAATTACCCGATATATTTTTCATTTATTACTTTTTAACGTAATTGTAACTTAAAAAATATAAAGCCGAGTGATTCAACTACCTATAGTTCTCGTCACGTAAAAATAACGCTGGAATAATCTGAGGGGCTCTCCCGCATAGGTACGTTTGGTTTAGCGTAAATTCTCTCCACTCCACTTTTTTTTTTAATATAACGTCCTAGAGTTATTATTATAAAACAATGTTAGGTATTGTTTAAAATAATAAAATTATGTTTATATGTTTACCTAGTTTCTTATCTGACATACCCAATCATGGGTAACTTTTATTAATTTGCAACACTAAAGCGACGGTGGCGCTACCCCTCAGTTCACAGATAAGTTGGTGGGACTGTAACCTTACTTTTGAGAAATTTTATCCTGCCATTACTGGACTACGCCGATTCTTGCTCTTCCTATCTAAACGAGGAGTTGCTAAATAAACTGGATCGTCTCCAAAATTTCTGTATCCGATTTATATTCGGTCTAAAAAAGTACGACCATATCTCTACGTTCCCTAAGCGGCTAGGCTGGTTACCCATTCGTCAGCGACGCGATGCTCATGTTCTCCATCTCGTATATTCCATCCTGTTCAACCCTAAAACTCCTTCCTATCTCAAAAATGATTTCAAATTTTTGGGATCCCATAACCCAATCCCAGCTTACGCTCTTCCGAAAACTATATCCTTGAAATCCCGTGTCATAACTCCTCCTTTTTTGACGAGTCCTTTAAGGTCTTTACAGTTAGGCTATGGAATTCACTTCCAGTTCCTATTCGCTCAGCTCCTTCTCTATCTTCCTTTAAATTTCTTCTGTACAAACATTACCTGTCCACATCATATCCCTAACTTTAATAATACCTACTAACTGACGTGAGACTGATCTTAAATTAAACTCTTAAATTAAATTATAATGATTCATGTGCACTTTTTACTATTATAATTTTTTTTTCCTGTATCCTTTGTTAGTTACATCTACATACATATTTTTATTGATATCCTTCTTAACTTTAAGGTAATATCTTTCGTCATTTGTAAATTGATCTTTATATTCTCGGTTGGAACCACAAAGTTCATTGTCCAACAACAATGGACTAAACTAGTGGGGTAAGATGAGATTGGGATAAGAGTTGCACCCGGTGCGACGTCTTAATGCGGACTAACTCAAGTGTATGTAATAAAATATAATGAAAATGCATACACTAGTCGTATTGCATAGTGTCGTTTACATTGAAATACCTGTGCGTAATCGTGGAGCGTAAAAGCTCCAGAATCAATACAAGAGAAAAGTGATTACTCACTCGTACAATTTTGTTCTTCATCACTGTTATCCAGACAGTCATCGTCTCCATCGCACACCCAGCTTTTTGGGATGCAGCGTTGGTTGTTGCAGGTGAAGTCCCAGGTGTTGGGACAGGCCTGCAAGGGAGGTTCGGCGGCAGGGTCAGCGATGCACCGAGTTCCGTCGACGGCTAACTTTTCCCCGTAGGGGCACCCGCATTTCACCGTCAGCAGCTCCGTAGCATTTCGCGGTACCGCAAAACAAAACTTCTGGCAGTTCCCGTTGTTCACGGAGCACGGCTGGTTCGGGTCTATCCTTTGCACCTGGCGACTGTACACTTTCACTCCGTACAACCTGTTAGTCTGCGGCTCTCGAACCATAATGTCTTCCTGCTCGCCCGTCAGCTTGTGTAGACGCACGATGGCGTCCAGCCGCCAGTCCGTTATGTACATGAACTCTTTGTAGATGACTATGGAGAAGGGATGCCTGATCAGTCTAGAGTTGACGGTCTTGACGTCCGTGCCGTCCAGTTTGGCGTGTTGCACGTGGTCGAGCAGCGCGTCGCACCAGTATACGCGGTCGGCGTCGAAGTCTATGGACAGGCCGTTGGGCCAGCCGAGCGTCACGTTCTCGAACACCAGCAGTCCACTGCCGTCCGTGTTGGCCCTGCTGATGTTGGCGGGACGATCCCACTCCGAGAAGAAAATGAAGCCTTTGTTGGGATGTACCACAATAGCCCGCGGTCTTTTCAGATCTTTGAGAAGCGTTCTTTTGTATGCGATGTTTCTGGTGGATAAGACGTTTAGAGTGCCCTTTCTGGAGTCGATATAGTACAGGTTCTTCGACGCCCAATCGACGGCGAGACCCTCGACGCCTTCGTTGTGCGAAGCCAGCACGATCTCCTTGGTGGTTCCGTTCCTGTGGACTCTGTATATAACGTCTTGCAAGACGTCCGAGTAGTAGATGTACTCGTCTCTCGAGTCGAAGTCCAAGCCGACGAATCGGGCGCGTCGCGAGACCACGGGCAGGATGGCGTCGTTGAAGCCCTCGATGACGGGATACAAGACTTTGCCCTTTATGAATCTCTGCTGCGAGTACATGAGGAACTCGTCGACGATGTCGCAGTTCTTTAGGTCGGTCTCGAGGCTGTAGCCGACGTTGCAGGCGCAGCGGTAGCCGAGGCCGCCGTTCAGCAGGGCGGTGACGATGCACATGTGGGCGCAGCCGCCATTGTTGTTGCCGCACGGATTGTTGACCGAGGTCTGCTTCAGCGAGTGCACCACGGTGAGCGCCTTGGGCTCGCGGATGTCTTTGATCTTGTACACGCTCTCGATGGAGGAAGAGCCGAGGTATTTGCTGACCGCACTGACGCCCTGCTTCGTGGTGTCGGACCAAAACACTTTGTCCTCGAAGAGCGCAAGGCGCGCCGGGCTGGGCACCTGTTGGCCTCGCAGGACCAGGAAGCGATTGGCGCCCTCGTAGTCCACGGTCTCGATGTAGTCCAGGAGCGAATCACACCAGAACACGCGGCGGGCGATAATGTCGACTGCGATGCCTGACGCCTTGTACGTGGCCTCGGAGACCAGAGAGCGGACGTGGGTGCCGTCCATGTTGGCGCGAATTATCTGCAAGTTTAAAGGTGAAATACATATTAAATAGTGTTTTACATTTGAAGGTATAATATAGAGCAGTTCCGATGTCACAATGAAGTACCTGGCTGCTATCCGCGACGAACATTAACCCTAGCGTAGGATCTAGCGCAATGTCCGCAGGACTGGTGAGGTTAGATCCCAGCACCACCGCGTGCCAACGGCCGTCCAGCTCGAACACGTCCACTTTCTGGCCGACAGCATCGGCCACGTACAGTTTGTCTCCGACCCAGTCAACGGCCAGTGCCACAGGCGCCCATGACCCCGCTACGCTGATGTCTCCTCCCACGTAGCTGCCCACGCCCGCCGGACCCGCCCCTCCGCTCAGATGCTGAGCGTGAATCTAGAACAGAGCCAAAGTCATAAACTTTTGTGCCTGTTTAGCTGATCATTTCGCTTTGGTAAGATGTTTTGTTAAGACTTGAACTCCAATTAAAGCGTATGTAATTAAAAGTAGAATACGATCCTGACATGTCTAATTAAAAGTACACACCTTTCGTGTTTTAAGATCGGACCAGAAGAGCAAGTTCCTTCTGTAGTGGTAATCGAGTCCGGCTGCGGAAGATGCGTTAGCGAGAGTTGTGGGAATGCGTTTGTCCAAGTCCAGGCGCAGGAGACCCTTCTCGTGAGCCAACACTAAAGTTGGGGTCTCGGCGTTCGCCTTGCAACTGCTGCCGTCTGTCAACGTGTATCCGGGGGCACAGCCACATTTGTACGCTGGAATCGGAGACACGTATTTTAGGAAAACTGGTAATTTAACTATTGTACAAAATGTAAAAATAATATTAATATTTTGAATATTGATAATTCTCTGTGACTCTATTAATAGTCATAAATTGCTTGAGTTAAAAATAAATGAATTGTCAATATGATGCTTACATCCAGGTGTATTAACACAGAGCTGATGGCAGGGTCCCCATTCTTGGCACTCGTCCCTGTCCACACATGATCGACCATCGGGAGCCAAAGTCAGTCCTTCGCCGCATGCGCATGCGCCACCCAAAGGGGACGCCACACATGTTGATTCGCAACCAAGGGCCGGACATGATGACGTTGCTAGAGTAAAGTATTATATTAGATTAGTAAAACAAATATTATTAGAAATGTAAAAAAAACAACGATCATCTGTAGAAGCTTACTATTCATACTAGTTTTATGAATAAGCTATTTGAAAATAGGCAAATTATTAAAGATAACTTACAACAGGCCGCTTCTTCATCAGCGTTATCCTCACAATCCTTCTTTCCGTCACATAGCTGTGCTCGCGCTATACATTTGTGGGTCCCGGCGGGTCCTCCCCGGGGACACAGGTACTTATTGTCGGGACACGAAATCGCCGTGCAGTTGGCCTCGTCCGACCCGTCCGCACAATCCCGGAACCCATCGCAGTGGTAAGTCGCCGGGATACAGAGGGCGTTGCTACAACGGAACTGCCCTATGTGACAGGGCGGGAAACCTGCGGCACACGTGTAAGTCTCAGTACAAAGGTTTTTTTTTTACTTTTATAGTAAGTATGCGAATATAATTTACTTAGAATTTAGTTAGAATATGTTATAATTTGCTTTAAAAGATATTCAATATTGACGTTAATAATTATTTAAATTAAACTTCTTAGTACTTGAATCTAAGTAGTAACATAATACTGAAATAGAGCATGGTTACTTCCGATATGCGTAAGCATTCTGCTCGTGTATCTTAGGGCTATTAACTGCGGTACGATGTGTAATTTAATTGCAATCATTTAGACACTATTTAATTTTTCTACTGTCGAATATCAAAATTTTATATTCGTGTGTGCAATTAATTATATGAAATAATTTACCAACAACCATCCCATTTTAAAAAATCTTCTAAATTTTCACGTTTTATCAGATATTCATTAACAACAGTTTATACAGTTGTTAATAAATATCTGATAAAATATATATATACTTTATAGTAATTAGATAGTTTCAAAACCAACCTAAATAATTAGTATTTTTTTTCATGGGCTTGTAGTCTATAAGAGGTCAGGCTCCTTTCATTCGAATTCTTGGAATAACAGTATACACACTACTTATTCAGAGCTTGATATATTCGGTAGTGGGCAGATCAATTTAAATAAAAACATTGTTAAGTACCTATCTGATGCCTAATCCGCTATTTTCCCAGTAATTTGTTGCCTATTGTTAAGTAATTTGCTTTGCTTTACTTATTACTAGTAAAACCTAAAACTGTCATGTATTTTAGAATAGATAGCTTGTAACGTGTACTGTAGATATTCCATTATATATGTTTTGAACTTTAATAAATAAATAAACAGATAGTGCTTACTGCAATTTGCCTCATCCGAGTTGTCTCCACAGTCATCTTTATGGTCACATTTAGCACTGGCGTCCACACACTTATCTCCAGCGGAGCACCGGAACTGGTCAAGTCGGCAGCTGAGCGGGCTGCCCGGACAATCCTCTTCATCTTTGCCCGTTCTACAGTCTAAATATCTGTCAAACAAATTTATCATGTTTAAACTATAGAGAATTGGTACTATTTACAAAAAAAAACTAGTGGTAATCTACTAGTGTCTATGACTGCAAGCTATTATTTATACATATATTTAAATTTATGTTAGCGTTACAGCTTCAAAAATCTCACAATGTCAGAACAGAAACCAACATAATTGCAATAATAGTTTAATAGTCTATTATAAAAATTAATTTACCCATCACATTTCTTTTCTTTCGGTATACATGGTCCCTGTGTTGTGGAAATCTTCCCATATCCAGAGTTTTGCATTCCACATTGAAAGTCATCTACTTGGCATTTCCGATAAGCTGAAGAAGAAAAAGATGAAAAGGCACATTAATAAGTTGCTTACCTTTAATTCATGCTTTGATCGCCAACATCAAACTATATTCTTAAACGAGAGTTCGGAAACTAGAACCTCTTTGCACTTTTTACATTAAATAACCACATCATAAACTTCAGGAGACCGCAAACTTATTAAGGCATACACAATGAAATTTCCGTTGTGTAAAGTGTATAACATATGCTTTGACAGAATTTGTAAAGAGCAATCATTTTTGTAAAAATTCCAACGTAAAAAGAGTATTAGACGACACAAAGGCGAAACGACGCTCGACTATAAACAGCGCAGTCTTGAAGCACTCGAGCCTTGAAAAAGAGGTTTACATAACTATATGAAAATCTTATTATCTGGGAAGTCTTTCAAAAAGTCTCTTAAAGGCGAGGTTGGTGACGATGTTTAGGACATGCCGCGCTGAGTAATGGCTTTCCAATTATCCGGTAAAGTTAGTCTGTTTAAATATGTTAAATATAAGGTTTATTTTGTTATAAATATTAAAACTGTGCAGAAAGTTGAGATAAATAGATATAAGACATGAATAAAACCAAATTGGACGCAGAAATCAAGGTAGTTTATTAGAATCAATTAAGTTAAGTGGCGAGCGGCATGACACAGAAAGTTATTCAGAGTTGAAGCTGCGAGCTAGGGAGATGAACTCATCTAATCTCGTTCAAACATTTTAAGGCGAACGCTGATATTTCCATTGTAACTTGTCTCTCACATATATTTAATATAACCAAAGTGGCGTACACGTGTATACACCGCAATCATCAATTTAAAAAAAGTGACATCAAAAGATTCTATAGAGAACACACGGCTGACTTATTATAATTTAAACAATATATTAAATGAGGGTAAACTTGTTATGCTTTAAGGATAATATAAGTTATGTATTGATTAATTATTAATTAATTTTTTTTTTATTTAGAATTGCACAATGATTGGGCTGGTAATGAAATGCAATAAACATATTACAATAAAGTTTGTTAGCAGATAGAAAGGCAGCGCACGGCCCGTTCATTAAATAGTACAATCTTTCTTTGAGTAATATGAATTGTCTTATAGCATGCACAACACTTAAGCAGCGAGTGTGCGCTCAGCCTGAAGTGGTCCCAGTCCCAAGAGCTTCCGTTTCCGGGTCAGTAACGTCACACTGTCTTCGATGACGTCACGAGTTTTTCTTACACGACATCTTTTCCTTAATTGCTTTAGCCTTTAAATTTCTTAGCCCATTCTTAGTTAAAAAAGATGATAAAACGCATGTTTAAACTTCATAGGTAATATTACTTCCAATATTCTATCTGTTTATTAGCGCGATGACAACTGACTTTAGTTTGCGAACAAATATAATGAAAGTGAGCATATAACTTCACGTTTAAAGTGCTAAAAAGTTTCCTATTTTTAAACAGTTTATAACAAGAACAAGTGGAAGAATACAATGATTGCAGTCTATTAAAACTTTGTGGACAATCGGAGTTGCTCGGAAGTGCGCATTGTTTTGTTTCACATTGAAAAATTGTTATTTTTTATGAGAAAAACACTTTTCATCTTTACGGGGCGTTTGAAACATCAAAGCATCTTTTTGAAGAATTTAGGATAAAATGGGATTATTGCAGGTAATGTCATTCTTGAAACAAAAATAATATCAAAATACCTTAGTCTTGAAAAAGTCTACCCCAGTTCAAACTAGATTATATAAACTATGCGAACTAACAAATAAATAAGCTTACACCAAAACTAATTAATTAGATGTCAGCGTATGAGAATGTAAAAAGTCAATTTCCAGGCAATTAAAAGTTGTAGGGGAGTCGGTTGATGACAGCCGTCGGGCGTGGGCTGTCAGTTGCAGCCCAGCCTACACCCCACAGCCCTTTTCAAGCCTTTAACTTACACTTCTCTACGCAATACAATGTGTAAAACTCACAGCAAATATAACTTATACCAATGATTATTCGTATATAAGTATATTGTGGTAAGTTAAATGGTGTGGTTAAATTAGGCCTCATCAAAAGTAAAGAGGAGCATTGAGAGTAGCGAAACTCTCTCTGGGCGCGTTCCAAATGAAACAAAGTTTTCGTTGAAAATAAGCAAACAGAGTTATTTGCGAATCACACATTGAATATACTGTTACTACACCGATACCTTTCATAGTGTTTGAGATTTCCATTTCCGTGAATTATGTTTAGATTTGGATGACACGATAGGCTGATCACTTGTTAGCTATTAAATAACATCATTGTATCGGAAGCAGACATGGAGTATACCGTTATATTTTACAGATTTAAAACTAAAAATTTATAAAGACTCATTCCCCAAATGATATTTTACTGTTGTTCGAAATACATATGTTTTATTTTAAAATTTCTGATGAGGGTGATCCATCATATTTTACCTCGGCCGATCGACACCTTTAATTCGCTTGGGTTATGCCAGAACCATTTTTAGTTTTTGCCCTATAATTTTATAATTTCTTAGTGAATTTTTGTGCGTATTTTAAACCATTCTTATGCTTACGACTAAATATTCTGTGCCTTTTTCAAGTTAATATATTGGAACAAGGTATCTACTCAGGGCTTATTACTTTAAAACTAAATTTTGTATCAACGGCCGCTGAACGGTAATTTGTGGTACAACTGTTTACTGAAAAAGTTTACAGTTTACAGTAAGCGAAAGTGACCCGTCACGGTCGCGTCGGTAGCTGAAGCGCAATAAAAAGCAAAGAGAAAGGTTTCAATAGTGTGCAAATTTTAATTATTTATAAAATTAGATAAGAGATACTCACTGCAATCGGCTTCGTCGGTGCCATCTACACAGTCAACATGCATATCACAACGGTAGTGTGGCGGGATGCAATATGTCTTATTCCACACATACTGCCCACACGTCAGTTGACCGGCCTCGCATTCTGGGGCCTCTGAAAGTAAAAACAAAATATCAATCAATTGTCACAAAAACCGTCTTTGACAAAAAACTGCGCAAAGTGATTGTAGGAAGAGTCCTTGATTGCAGTCATTGTATTGTTTAAAAGGCATTATTGATTTCAGCTAATTTTATTACTTTTAAGATAAGAAACGAATTGGAAAATATTATAACTGAAGCTCAAAGTACCAACTACATATTTATTTATTTATTACGTACTCCTACAGCTAACAAATATTATATACAAAAACAAACTATTATACTAAACATAGCCAAAGATGGAATACATATTGCATATATACAAAAAGAAAAATTATAAAATACGTAATTCGGCTGTGCTGTGTGACGGTGTGAAAGTGTGGGTATGTACGCGAGGGTGTGTATGGTGGGTGTGATCATTGTATCTATTTTAATGATATTGTTTATTATAATGTATTATTTAGACAGTTTAAATAAAACTTAGTAAACAGACATAACGCGAATGTATTAATATACATAACTCGACGTTTCGCGTCGTTAAAGAAGTTTTAATTAATCGTGTAGTACTCGCAATTCGCTAAACCACTACATCAATATAATCACTGTTAAGTTTTATGTTTGGTTAGTTTTCTATTTAAAGTTTGTTTTAATCCATTATACGTATACATTGTAACCGACAGAACCTTTCCAATAAAAAAAAACAATATAAATAATCGTAGTCATTCATTGGTGTAATTATTCCGACATTGCAACCCGACTCGATAAATATTCACAACACACAGGAGGGATCAATCCTCCCCGTCATTAGGACAAAGGTTGCTCGACCTGCAATCAGTGTCGATCATCAATCACGCGAGGGCTCCCCTTCGCGGGGCCCCAGTCTATTCGAAGGGCCCTGCAGGTGTGTAGGGTCCTTATCAGCGCTGTGATTGAATTCACGCTCGACGGGTTAAATGATTGGATCGGTTTATTGTTTAATCGCTCAATGCCCTTTATCGTGTTCAAATTAATTGCTTTTAAACATCGATCTGCTAAACAATCGCCGATCAAACGGTTGTAGATAAATGTTCAAGTACGCTCGGCCCACCTCTCACCTCGCCGCCGCACCCGCTCAGTCGTTTCAATTGTTTCGCGAGTTGAAACATACAACGGAGTTTATTCTATAAATTGTGTGTAAAATAATGTCGAAAATCTTAACGGACATATTCTTAATGCGAGTTGCATACAAATATAGCAAGAAGTCCTATACTACTGTATACATTATATGAGTAGGTTATGCATAACGTATATCTGTAATAAAATCTATAGATTCTAGACGCTGTACACGTGACTGAAGGCCAGACCATTAACCAAACTTAAATCTGTGTTGACGTGAAAAAGCGCGCGAAAAATGTCAAGTTGTCATCTGTCACGTGCAACAATGGCTTGTGAATAAGGGAGCTTATTCACGAATTTTTAGGGATTTACATTTCGGAGGACATCTGTGGAGCGTTGTCCGAGGCAAGTAAATGAAATATGAGGCTATTAGTTTAAAAGCTGTCGGAACTGTACGATGTTGGTATTAATGGCAAATAGTTATGAACAAAAGTAAGTTTTAGGTGCACGACAAGTGTGCACATTAAGCGATCTTGTTTTAGATTAAACACTTAAACTAGCAAATTCTTATATATTCTTTAAAAACCTCTTCTTTCGTGTTCTTTTTTCTATTTAAGATTTTACTGTTATTAAATTTACTAATAATACAATGATATTTTTTTATAAATAAAGATATTCAAAACAACTCAAAACTTCCATAGTTACACAACTTATCAACGAGGAAGAAAATTTTAATTGGGACATTAATACCGCTACATAAATCATCAATCGTAAAAAAGTTACATTTTTAAATCACCAATAAGTTTTTTAATAGTAAATAATTTGTATTGAAACCCGTATATAAAGCTATCTTATTTCATTAATTTGACTTGTGTATATGTCTATCTCCCCTACTCACTAAGTATGAAAATATACTCACGGCAAGACTGCAGCTCATCCTCGCCCCGCTCACAATCCTGTTGGTAGTTGCAGACCCACAGTGCTGGGATGCACTTGCCGTCTGCGCATCGAAACATGCCGGTCGGACATATTGTATCGCCTGAAACACATTAAACTTTATTTATAAAAGCTATTCATTATTATAATAACATTTGATACGATATAGTATTCAATGGAGGAAAAGAAAAGTTGAGAAAAAACTACTAAACTAGTGCCCAAGGTACAGCAAACGAAAAAGAGGGAAGGCAACTTAGAAGGTGGAGACCACATTAGAGAAACAGCAGGTTGTACATGGCACAGTGCCGAGATTAATGGCGTGATTTGGAGGAGGCCTTTGCCAAAAAGGGCACACATTCTCTAGAAGAGGATTGAAATGGAAATGTGTTAAAATGAAAATGTATCTGAATTAAAGGATTATTATTAGTATTTAATTTAAATTCATTTAAAATTCAATTTTCATCGTTTATACTCGTAATAAAGTAGGTATTCTGCACGATCCAGTACAGACGACTACGTCGTTCCAATTGCCAACAATGAAATTCATGAATCGACATTTTTTTAGGAAAATTTATAAATATTGTTATTGTGTAATATTATTGGTTAGGCAAGATTCACCACAAAAATCTACTTTATTTATACTCTTTATACGGGTTGAGAAGCAGAATAGTAGGCGCATGATATGGTGTTGAATAAAACATAGGTACAGTGGGGTAATAAGACGGGGAAACGGCCTGCGTTTATCTCAACGTCGTCCATCTCTTTGATAACATTGCCTTTACTGGAGACCCGAATAGTTAACCACTAAAAGCGAATGCAAAAATGCAGATCGTTATGACGTCCTTTAATCAAATCAATGAACATTTTATTACTGTGCACCTACCTACTCTGAAGATTTACAATTATTTTCTAGGTTATAACGTTTTATAGCGTTTCAGTTTCTTCACAAGCAGATACTAATTTTTACCACTTTACGAGCGTTTTAACGACGCTCAGGTTTCTCAATATAATCATATTTTAAGTCAAATCTTTGGTGGAATAACAGGAAGCAGTTTTAAATAAAACTTTTTAACTAATTATTTTCTCAGACGGTGAATATGTCAATGAAAAATATTACTTAATATTTAAAAAAACACGTCGAACTGATAACCTTTTTAGTAGGTTAAATAATTCTCTAATTTCAATATGTTGACGCACAGAACGACTCGCATAAAAATCACAATATCTACTTAATAAGACGTTAAGATTGAATATCCCGTGGCCAGTTTACAAGTTAACGAGGCGGATAACTCGGAAAGAACTGGATCTTGTTATGGGATAACGAGTTTTATGACATTGTTATAGTCAGCTTGCAGACATTACGGTAATGAATTATAGGGAAATGACGCAGTTTAATAATTACGCTGTATTTATATTCTAACGTTCTTAGTGGTCTTAGCTAATTAATGCGTATAATAAATGAAATGCGACGTAATTTTGTTACATTTAGGTAGGGCCAATCTGAGTGGCTGATTACATCAGCAGGACTTGTATATATCGGAAAGCGACCCTGTGCGTCAGAAGGTAACAAAGGCAGTCTAATGGACATCATCGAATTCCAGTACTAGATGTGTCTGTGTTACCACACTTGTAGGTTTTGTAAATCTATGTCTGTCTATGTATGTGTGTATTATTAAAAGAGATATTTTAGTTCACTAGCCGTTAAGTTGGTGTAATGGCATAGCACACGTCATGCTCAGTTGCTACGTAGAGACACGCTACGAATTTTAGCCACGTTACGGTCCTACGGAAGTGCTACGAGCAACCAAGCATGAGAAGAATGTTTGTCTGGAGTTTATTTGAATTTTTAAGTAGTATGTAACTTTTTAGTTCTAAACACAAATACAACATACTATCGAATTTTGTGATGGATGACTAATAAAATGTCTAATTTTACAAAGTAAATTTTCCTTAAATTTTGGTGGTATCGCATTGAATGTATCTTAGAATCTCATTTACGTTATAGTGCTGGCATGTCGCCAGGTTGTCAATGTAGGTAGTGTCGGAGAGCACGACTTGTAATGGACCATCTGGTTTTATCTGCGACACGGCATTTACACTTTGACACTGGCACACCGCGGAGTGTCATCTGAATTAATATAAAAATAATATTTATTATATACTTTTTTATATTTGTCTTATCAATAAAATATAATAGAACACACATTGGAGAATTAAACATCAAAATTTAATACAAAGGTTGAAACAAAAGTTATGAAATGTTGTCTGGGGTTAGACTCTCAATTGAGCTGACTTCGCTCAACTTATGATTTTGTTGTTCAATGAGGCAGCAATCACGGTGCACATATTTCACAGGAGAAGCGTTTCGCGATAAACAATATATTATAAGTTTATAGAAAACAAACAGCATAGTCAATATACCTAGGGTATTTTTACAGAAATGTTCTACAAACTTCAATTAGTAAAATAATATTCTGTTTTGTCTGTTATATTAATAACAATCCTTATTTTATTTAAATACTAAGAAAGTGTAGATGGCAGCCCATAGTTATACATTTTTTATTTGCTACGATGAAAATCTCGACAAATCTGACAGATCTTTTATATGACAGTTATTTTTCTTATCTCTAATACATCTTGGGTCTGGTCTGGCTTCGAAACGTCCAACTGGGTGTACTTGACATGAATTGCCTGTCGCTTAAAAGTAATTTTTCGCTTCATCTTTAGTTGCGTAAGAATCTTGTACACAAAATAAATTGCAACGGGACTCGTGGGATTGTTTTTAAATTTCGTTACATGAGGCTATATGAACTCGAGCGAGATAGCTGTACTTTTTATCTGCGATCGGATAAAGACGCAAGATTTTGCTGATTCTGAGTTTTGGCAAGCTGAGAAAATATATCAACACTTTTCGGAAATAATGATATATTTTTGATTAGAAAACTTTTCTGTTTAGGTTCAACTTTCTGCTCAAATTATCCAGGTGTCCAGTGTCCATAATTGCAGCCGAAGTGGTACATTTTCATATCAAAACATGATATTGAAAGGATTTAATTTAATTAGAAAATATACAGCTAACATATTATGTCGTAGCAATTATAAAAACCAACACTGGTACAATAATATTTCAAAATCAACACATGTGCTGAAATAAGGAAAATTAAAAGTAATTCCTCATTTTAATATTCTCACAAAGTTGGACAAGACGTCTCTGACAAGCTGAATTTACGAAGAAATTTAAAAAGGACGGAACTTATCGAATCTTCTCTCCGAGCTTTCCCCAGAGTTTTATATTTCCAGTAGGTATGTAAATTATCTGTTAAATAATATTATACGACGGGGACACTTGCCCTGATAGCTCGCCACTCAGTTGGAAATTTATATGATATTTTCACTTAGTATAATACAAACGGTATTATGCACACTGTATCGGTTTTTGTTGATTGAATCGTGAGAGAAAAGAATGAAACTATTTAAATCTATTGATGTGATTGGAAGGTAATTTATTGAAATTTATGGCTTGTACAATTACAATAATTTATATACCTATATATAATACATAGGTGACGATGGTGCGTTTAGTAACTGAGACCAAAATTTCCTACAGGCTATCTAATCTAAGAATGCCATTATTCTTCACGTGTTAATGCAATTAACAATAACAAAGGCGAGAAGACTGTTAAGTCCTCAGGTGTCTTTCTTAGAAATTTCGGCACCTCAAAAGGTTAGTTTTGTAAGCTGATTATAAAAACAATTACACTTAAGTATGTTGTTGATATCTAAATATGAAAATATTTCTTCGTTATAGGGAATAGCTGTATGTATGTAATGTATGGGTTTTGTGTGAAACCAAACAAATTTTAAACTAATCAACATTTTCATATAAACAATAAGATTCACTGTTTTTTTATATGTTATGCGTGTTTTTCTTAGATGTTTTTAAATTTACTTTACTTTCAAAAGATAATCTCTTTTATTTTAAATTTCAAATAACAACAATATTGTTGCAAGTGGTGTTGTGGACATGTAAAGTATAGCTAAGCGGTATTTAACCTTTTTCGAAATTACGAGTAGGTACTTTAACGCCCCGTTAAGTATGATTAATGAATTTTGTGACTTATTTTGGGATAAACGTTTAAAATTTATTAGACAGCCGAGTCCGATTGGGGAACACCGGTGTAACTCGGAAATATAATTTATAGGTCGTTACGTCGATAGGAGGGCGGAATTGATAACATGTCGCAATCTAAACGTTTTTGCCATCTACCCTCCCTTAACAATTTTCCAGTATTACGTAAATTTTATTCCAAAATAATGCAAATAAACAAATTGTGAATATACGTTTATATATATGTAAGTAAAAGGTTATATTCGCATTTATACCATTTGTTGAAGGGATGATGAATAAGAAGTCTCCCCATCATTCTGTTTTCGCGATAACATTAGATATTCTAACACACGGAGCAAATTATGACTTCATTTTGAGGCGGCTCGGTGTATAATGAGATACAAACAAACTCTTCACAAGGATACACTTCACAAACCTATTTTCGATGCAAATATATGTTTGACTACTTTTGTACTCAACAATAATTTAGTAATCATTAATTCAGATTCTACCTTTGACATAGAATCTCCATCGAGGACAGCACACTATATTGGTCTCACATATAATATAACACTTTAAATCACGCGGATGCAATACACTCGTAATTCAACTGTAATTATGTAAACTTTGGAAGGGTGACTGTGATGTATTAGGGTCATAAGAGAATTAAGGGATGATCTTACTAAAATTACAAACTCCAGGTGGCGTAAACCTTGTAATCTATGTTTTCTGATTACGTTGGAGACATCACGAAATGCTCCTAAACATGAAAGAGATTTTTAAATTGTATTTTACAAATATATAATATAGTAAGTCAAATATCTTCTTTGTATAAGATATATTAATATCTGGTAGAAGAAATCAAAAACCTAACTCATAATTCTAATACATATATCTATATGTCTCTATATGATATAATCCATTCCGACGACTTCTTGGTTGTTATCATTTATGGAACATATACAATATACATAGCGGACAAAGGCATCACCAATATCTCAATAAATATCTTATGAGCTTCCCTTCTATTAAATGGACCACTTAAAAACTATAGTTAGTAAACACACCCATGACATGACATATGACAATCTACATGATATCTATTTTAATTCTACAAAAAACGGCTCTTAACAACTATAGTGGATAAATGACAATATATCAAAACACATTCAAAGTACAAAATTATAAAAGATTAAAGTTTAAGAGTGCTTACCTGCTTCGCATTTAAATATTAGATCTAGCATCTACAATGTGCACCCCAAATCTATAACACTAAGTATCCAAAGTGGAGTTAGGTCTCTGCTATTGTCTATAAACTTAATCGATATCGTGTATAAACGTCAGTCCAATAATAATATACTACAAATATAATGATATTTACAAACAAATATGAGGTTTAATAGTTATCACTCCACTTTAGAATCGTTTTCAAATATAGAAATACAAATCTACTTCAAGAAACTTATAGTATTAGAAAAATTACACACTCGTTCACTAGTCACTGATAGAGTTAACACTGAATATCCCCAGATTATTAATCTATGTGTAGATTGCATATATAGTATGCAGCCTCGAAGTTTAAATAATTTTGGTAGACAATACAAGGTCAACAATGGCCAGCGCCTCTAAAACCCACTACGACGTACCTTTGAATCGTAATTTTTTTAAGCTAGCTTTCAGTTTTGGTAGACGAGGCTTCATTCGCCCCGTACGTCCTGAAAAATATACTTTACTCAATATCTATATAAATACACATTTGGTCCGTTAATAGTGTTTCGATGTGATTGATTAGCTTAAAAAGGTCGGTCCACGGATTACGTAAATAGTATTTGAAGGCTTGCTGCTAATCTCACAGTTGTACACTCATACAATATTTTTTTTATATTTTTGATGTAATAACGGCGTACATAAAACGGTCGATTTTGTTTGGTTTGGTCGGTGAGTGAGACGCGTTAGGTCGTACATTACGATTGGACACACACTATTTATGCGCAATCTGACAGATTTACTTGTTTTTGTATTGGCCAACAATACAGTAAACGTAGCTGTAACGATGGCAAGATGATAATGGCAACACGAGTAAACACCTAAAATCTTTATAGATGACACACTTTTAAGCATACCTTACATATCTAATGAGGTGTTGGGATGTCTACTGTAATTAATACAATACAGTAATAATGTATACAGATAGTTAAATAGTGATCATTCTAGCAGTGTATCAATACACTAATCACTTACTACTTAATAATACTTATACTACTTAGGGTGGATTCGACCAAAGAAGAGTAAATCTTAATCTTAGAATAAATCGTCAGTTAATCGAGAGTAAATCAATTTTACGTTTTACCATCTACAAATTCTAAGAATAGTGGGCCTATTCGAGGATTATTACTATACCGCCGTTTCGCACGGAATAACAGCTATTCCTAGAATAATTTAATGGCGTCAATCAGTCCAATCATCTGATTTCTGTCATTTCACAAATATGTATTCTGTGTTTTAATTTCAAGTCAACGCAATGCACTAAATTAATAGTCTGGCATTGTATAATGAAACGTTTAAACAATTTATTATTTATTTATTTATTTTTAGTTCTTTTATTTTCTATAATATTATAATGAAATTCAACTAGGCTCAACAGAAGTTCCTTTTTAGACGACAGCCTCAAACAAACAACAAATAAAAACTTTTTGTTGTCGTTTGACACCTGCCTACTGCTACTTTTTCACACTATAATACGGCAAAATCGAATTGACATGATGTATCCTCTTAAACTGTCTCGTTGTAGAACAACATTTATTTGCCGAGTTTTATTTTCGTTCACCATTCTCTTTGCTATTCGCGTATTGTTATTCCTAGCGCAATTATACTATCGATTACGTGGAGAAACGACTATAGATTTACTCGAGATTAAAATTATGGAATAGATTATTCCTGGTATAGTTACTCGTGTATAAATTGAAGTTTGGTCGGATCGACCCTTAATGATACTTAATAATAATACCGTAAAATTTAAAACAAATTTGAGGAGGAAATCACAAAGAAACCACAACACGGTATAGCTCTTACGTTGTCTTCGGAGATGATCTTAATATAGGAAGGCCTAATGGATGTACACTGTCGAGGTTATTATTAATGTTTACCCAATTATACTTCTTACAATTGCCGATCCTGCAGGAATTATCAACACACTGGCATATTAGATGTACTGATAACATAAGAGTTTTGCAGTTCATATTAAGATTTTGTGATTCATCAAATTTACGAAATCGATTCTTTCATTAATATAAAATATATGTTTCGGATTTTTAAGATAATATCCAATTTGCCATTAAAAGACTTAACAAAGTTTATCCTATTCTCCATTATAAAGTTCGTGAACTAAAATAATTAATATATTTCTTTACATTTAAACTCTTATCAAGAAAAACAACACGGTACGGGTTTGTGTAATGAGCGTTCTCTATCTATCAAAGGTTTTATATTTCCTGCGGTGGCGAGTAAGGAGGTACTTACAACACATCCGCGAAGCCTTCCGGCCTACACCTTCGTGCAGGATGTGTGCGGCTTATTTTGTGCCGCTTTACTACCAGACGAACTTAAAGTTTATTTATATCAACGCTTTCTAATATCAAGTTTCTCTTAATGTAAAATAATAATTTGTCGTGTCATAAAAAAATTTCAAACATAACTAAATTCTATTTTGAATAGCTTTTTTATTTTCAATTATATCTACAAATTTAATGCTTACTAATGGATCCACGATACTTTAATTAGAAATGTACCCTATATTAAAATAATCCTTGACTACATAAATAATTTGCTGTTAATTTTAATCATAAATTAATTTACATAGTAACTGTCTGTTTTTAAGAATGCACTAGCTGTTTTTATAAATTTCCTTATCTTCTATTTTTACAGTAACTTATTACTAATTTAATAAACAATCACACATAATTATACACAAATATTTGTTATAATAATCGCTTCTAATATAATTTAAAACTTAATCTATCTTATTATCAAAAGGCGAGAAGTGGAGGCGTGTACTATTTTATATCTCCATTACCTGAAACAAAAATAAATAACTTTAATGAATGAATGAATGAGATTGTACTATATTTATCAACCACTTCCATTGCTCAGCTTGTCACATTATCCCTCTTTTTATCCCTCTTTTTGCGAAACAATGATTTTTTCTTGCTTTAAAAATGATCAACGAAACACATTACCCAATGTCCCATGATGAAAGGCGGGACGAAAACAAGGCAATTATAATTGAGAGTCATCTTTTAGAATGTCATTTTGAAATAATAAAATTCTCGACGAAACATGTAATAAATGTTCACCTGTTAGTGGAGCATGGCATTCCTAATAAAAGAATATTTTTATTTTGGCGAGTAGGTGCATAGTAAAACAAAGTCTATCAAACTATGGACAATTATAAATGATTGCGCGACTAATTGAGATGCGGACACAACAAAGTTTATTCCCTTGCAAGCACGATTTTACTGTTATGCAAAGTGCGTTATTGTAATGTAAATAATTCCCAATTAACAAACGAGGAACAATAATGAAGTTCAGAATTAATTATCGGATAACAGAGCAATCGATGCGGTGCGGAATTCCGTAAAGTTATCGACGTTTTTATAGTTATGTGGTTTACAGGCTGTTAAGGCTTTAATGCCGTGTTTACGAGGCCATTTTAAATATATGCATTTTGTGAAATAAAGTAAGGCTGTTGGGGTTTAAGACAGTTTTATTTTTAAAGCGTATTATCACGTGCTCGTGTATATTGTGATTGTAAACGTTGGATATTTGTATTAGATTTGCGATTCTACAGTTTATCACTACGCAAATTACGTTTTAATCGGCATTTGAATTATTTTTAACGGCTTCCGTTGTACAAGAGCAAATGTATTGACTCGAAATACTAAAGCTGAACCCCAGAACAATCGCCGGGGGTGCGGTAGTAGCGAGGCTTCAACGTCGAAGCGAAGCCTTCAATTTGAGGCGGAAATGTTCAGATATGTCACTTCCGACAAGCGACACTTTTCTCTACCCGAGTGTTTTAGAGATTCCACTTTATATAAGACATTTTTGTGGCGAAATCTTTTCCAGCAACCGAAGAGCGAAGCTTTATTTGAATATGGCATTATTATTCGAGCTTAAGAGTTACATACATGTTTAAAAGAACGCTCTGACGTTAGATAAAGTGGTAAAAATGGCTAAGAAAATTACCTTATTCATGCTTTGTATTACACATAGAGGAAACGTAAGATGTTTTACCTTAACGCTGATTCTAGCTATAAATAAAGGCAAAAATACACAGAAATTGAACAAGATTGTTTTAACACCTCATTTAAATATTCATTTTGAGATATTTAAATGAGGTGTCGATATAATATAGCTTTTGAACAAAAGCAATAAGCGCTATGTTGTCGCGTGGGCGGGGACGGACACGAGGGCGGGCGGGAATTTCACTTACAACGGATGCGGAAGTTCGCGAGCCGCGGTCGTGTTATTCAGTTCGACACACATTTATAGCTACCGCAATACATGCAATAGTTTATCGGCGTGAGATATTTTTATTGGAAAAGTTATCGCTTTACACTTTGTTCTTTTACATAATTCATTCGTACGTTTGGTGATTCTTATATACCCTATAGTAATCTTGAAAGTAACAAAATACAACTTTTCCTTTTTGCGATAATCAATTTAAGTCAGATTGCGAGCAATCTTTCGTTTTAAGAAATCATGTGAGACCAAAGATCGACCTGATTGGGGAGATGGGGTCATTGTAGCAACGTACATCAGCATAATGTAATTAGGCCCACCGACCCTCGCCTCTTTCAACCCAACATTTCACAAATGACCTCAAAGAATCCCCTTTATTGGGTTTCTTTAATTTATTATTTTTGGTAATAGATAGCGTAGATACTAATTGATTGTTCAACTCACTCTTGCTTTTTTATTGAAAAAAGTGTAATATTTACAAAGCATTCCACGGACAATCAAGTAGCTTTAACTTAACCTCACTACGGTACACGCTTAACGTAAATGGAGAGATATAAATCAAATTAATGAAGTATGAATCATAATTTTCACTCTATTTATCAAGGTGAGAAATTAAACTGTCCTATAAATCAATATGAATTAAACAATAATTTTTCGTTAATGTTGTCGTCATTACTAAAAGCGTAGCATAGAATTTGTGGAAATGTTATAATCATATTCGTCGACAATTATAGCGGATGGAGACGCGGGCGGGTAACGCTTAGGTGCGTCTGTGATGCCATATAAACTTAAAGTGACAGTCAACGTGGAATTACAGAAATAATATGTTTAAGTATTCAAAATAAGGATTTCCAGGAGGAGAGACATATAATATATAATGAACCTCTTTCTATATATCATGTACTAAGCAAGGTTCATTATGTACCATATCAAAATAGATAGCTCAGCAAATAAGATCTTTCTTCCGACTTGTGAAGTTATACATTGTTGAGGTTACACACGCAAAAAATTTCGTCCTAGTTATTCGAAGACGGACTGAATTATTTGATAAATTCTTCGCAATAACCTAAAAAGGTAATTTTACACATGGATGAACATAAATTAAAGATTACCTACGTTAGGAATTGTAGATTAATGTTTAGGTAATACGAGTAATATGGTTTGTAAAAAGATATTAAAAT